AGCGAGCATACAAACCAGGCAAAGGCGGCATTATCGTTATGGACGACGGCGACATCCAAGACGAGCTCTCCAAGGAACGAGATGCGTATTTGGCCCTGGTGGATATGCCCGAAATCGAAGACGATGGCCAAGACCTGGGCGACAGTGATGAAGATGAAAGCGATAACGAGGAAGAGACGGGTGGTACATCAATTGTCGCAGGCAGAAAGAGGAAATCATGGTCCGACTTCGATGAGGACGATGATGAAGACGACCGACCGAGACAGCGACGGAGAAGCAATTCGGTAAGTACATTCCAACTTCTTCATAGAAATACATGTCTCATGCCATATACAGTCGAGTCCAATTCCAGAATCGCCTCGCCGGCCCCAACACCGTGGTCTCATATCTCTACGCGACGATGCCTTGTTCTCCAGTGACGCGCTGGAACCCCCGACTGCAGCACAACTACCCAGAGCCCCTTCGGCCAAGACTCTGCGACGAAGACTGTTGCGACTTCGACGAGAGAACGAGGGAGTCCTGCGCGAATACTACCGACTGGGCACATCATATTCGGAGCCCATTTCATCCATGATGTACTCCCTTGCGTCAGAACTAGGTCGCGAAGACAATGACCTGCTGTGGTTAGCCATTGTTGGAGTCACGTCGATGGAGCTATACGGTCGCTCATCTGCCGGTATCGCGGTAGCAGCTCGCAGGTCAGATGCCCGCGTTTCTGGCTGGCTCGGTATGCGTGGCGCGAGGATACGACAGCTCCTGCGAGACGAAGTCAGACGTCTCAACCCGCCAGAGATAGGAAACGGCCGGGTGCTTCCCGAGACAACGGGAATTATCCCAACCACGGCGCGAAGTCCGGAGGATACCAGTATCAGGTTGTCGCCGGAGCCCAAGTTCCTGCTTATTAGGCACTGGAGTTTATACGACAGTATGCTTCACTCACCCTACCTCTTCTCTCGGCTAAAGACGTGGAGTGAGGCCGGGATGAAGCGATTACACAAGCTTCTCGCCAAGATGGGCGTTAGTCTGGTGCAGTGCAAGCAGAGTTATGCGCACATGGACATGATGTTGAAGCGCGAGCTTCGCACCAAGCTCCTAAAGTACGCTTCCCTCTACAACCTCGACGAACTCGTCCCGACAATAGACACGGACGGCAAAGATCGCGGAGGCGCCAAAGACGGATGGGGCTTCGTGCGCAGCTGGGGTTGGAGGGCCACCCTGAGCGCGCAAGATGTCGGTGTCGTTGTCGGAGCCCTGTTGGAGGTGGGGAAGAACACCACTAGTGCTGATGATCTTCCCGCCGGTCCGTCTCAGGATCTTCTCGGCGTAGACAACAACCAAAGCCAAAGTGAAGAGTGGATCCCTAGGTTTTGGGAAGCGTATGACGCGCTGGAGGACATCGAGGCCCTTAAGGCTGGCCTTCCCACGGCGCAGTATCTACACAAGGCCATCTTCACTACCGGTACGACCATTTTGAAGAAGAAGCAAATATCCCATCTGCGCGCATTCCGCATGTGCGTAGTCAAGGACTCTCCGGATGCGACACTCTTCAACCACCCTGGTGCTCTAACCAAGCTAGCTCTCTGGATCGGTGAAGCACTTGCCGAGCAGGAGAAAGAGGCTACTGGCGGAAGGCTCGCCCACGGCGGTCGTGGTACACCTCTGGTAGTAGCTAGTCTAGATGACAAGCGCGGAGTCTATGTTGTCGTCGGTACCGGTGGCGGTGGCGGGCCAGACACCAAGTTCCTCGACCGCGAATCTGCCAAGAAGCGAGCCGAAGAGAAAGAGGCCAAGGCGAAGGCTAAAGAAGCGCAGAGGAGGATCAAAGAGAAGATCAGGGCCGAGAAGAAGGAGGCCAAGAGGAAGGAGAAAGAAGAGAAAAAGAAAGCCAAGTCCGATGCCGGCGGCGATGACGACGAGGAAGAGGACAACGAGGAAGATAGTGACGACGACTCGGACCTCTCCGATTCGGACTCGGATGATGATGACGAGTCGGACCAAGATGACGAGCTTGATCAGGAACTGGAAAGGGGCTACGGCCTCAACAAGTTCGGAACAGCGTTCCAGGACGTGGTGGCGGAGACCAATGCCAGAGTGCGCATCGACAGCTTCGAGCACTGCGTCGTGGAGGTCAAGAAGGAGGATCTTAGCGGCTTCTTGGAAAGTCTCAGCATGAAGGTCGTCATTGGGTGAGGGAAGGAAAAGTTTGGGTTTGCTAATTCAGGGAAAACATGGGGGGCGTCAAGGGAGTTTGTTTACTTGATCAGGGGAAGTCCAAGACTTGATATCTGTTTCCAAATGGTTGGAAGAGTCAGAACTTGTCTGAGAGCTCGCATGGCATGGAATGGCATTGAGGCTCGAATGATTGAGCTAGCTACGTGCATGCAGTATAGGCAGTCATGGCATTGAGGCTCGGATGATGGAGCTACCTTTGGCGATGTGCATGCATATATAGAACATGCTCAGTCAAGCAGGCGCGGAAGAAGGAAAAGCAGGGATTTTTTTTTACGGCTGTACACATACGGCATATTCCTTCACATAACATGCATTGGGCTATATACCAAGTTTCAGTTTACTCTTCATAAGCACTTTTCTTGCCTCTTTGTTCTTTTATACACTTGTGAATATCACTTGATTGAGCAGCGATCGATATCTAAACCCAAACGAATATTAAAATCACGAACATCAGGAGCATCGCTCAGGAATCAATCGCCATGCCACTCTCTCCGACTCGGCTCGTTTTTTTTGTCTTTTGTGATTCACAACCATAAGATAAAGATGAAGTTACCTCCCTCAGACGCTCATATTGAGCCTCTTTCACCTCACCTCATACACACACACACACACACACACACACATCGCACCAAGCAGGCAACGATGACACTGCCCCCTTTGAGTAGGTATTTGAGGCTTCAGGAGCAGAAGTCACGACAAACCCAATCATTGGACCAAATAGTAATAGAGAGAGAGGTAGCAGATACTTATGTCAATCAATGCCGGGGTGTCAGAGGTATGGCGAGTTCTTTTAAAATGATGGAGTTTTGACGGGGGTTGAGTGTTGTTGTTGGCCTCTTTCGAAGTTCTCTTAACTTGAGGGTACAATCCAGCCCTAGTTTATTTGTTAGTTAGGTACAAAAAACGCCCATTTCCTCTCAAAGTGGAAAAGCATTCGGGCTTCTAGCGGATGGGTGCCGTAGGAGACTGCCCTCTTATATCTTCTAGTCTTGAACATTTCAAGGGGACCGATAGAGGTATAAAAAAGAGGCTTCTATAGCGTATTAAGTACTGGTTATTGTCCGTCACTTTAAATGAAGACCAGTTTTCTCTTTGAGAAGGCTAATGAGAGCTCTAGTTCTCCCCTGTTCAACCCATGGCCGAAGAACCACACTAACAAACAAACCAGTACGCAGTATTGTATTGTAGAGGCTGATGAATGTTGACAGAGGTACGTACCTGTCTTCGCGCGGTGTTAGTGAGAAAAGCGGGGCTATATCGGAGCTTGCAAGTCACTCCCTCGAAAATTTGAAGCTCTTTTCCTCGACATCCATTCACTTTCTTCTTCATCACTCAGTCTTTTGAGATTTTATTTCCCTTCTCCTCAGAACGGCGTCGATTTTACTCCGTACCGCACGAAGGAAGGTCCCGTTGGTCTCTTTTTGAGGAGAGACAGTTTGAGTGGATTTGTCAGAGTCTTGGCGGACTTTGCACTGCCCCCTTTCCTTACTACGTCAGTCCGGCACTATCTTCCAAGTAGGAAGGAAAGTTGCAAGTAGCTGAAGGAGAAGGAGTTTTTTCTGACCGCCGTGGAGGTTGGGTCAGGTGAAGGTTTGTGAATGTCATTGTTTTGCTCGACAAAAGACTTGATTTCTCTTTGTCGTTCTGGATCAGTTCTTCATAGGTGTTGTGGATGTTGGTAGTGGTCGACCGATAATGACGGAGTGGGGCATCGACTTCCACTTCCCTTTGGGCTTTGGGCTTCATCGGAGGGAAGGGTGATTGGGTGATACAGACAGAGCCTCAAAATACTGAGGATAATTGTTTGTGCCTACCAGGTCGGTTACACACGGTGCTAAGACATGATGAATGAATATCGGTAACTTCCATGGTCAAGCCAAGAGTGGATGGAGCTGCCCGAACGACATCCAGAACCCGATCGAACTTGTTGCTTGGCCGTGTGGCCCCTGTCCCAGTTATTAAAGAAATCCCGCCCGTTGCCCCTCTTTGCAAATGGATGGGAGAGAGAGGAGTGAGGGGCCCACGTGAAGTCGAAACACATGTTGGGGAACAAGTGGAATGTTTGGAAGAAAGTCCGCATGGAAATGGTGTGCATTATTGCGATTGCGATTGCGTTACGTATCGTCCGCAGTCCAGACAAGGCAGGTTTCTCGAGCAAGTAACAGGTCACAGCCTGGCCTCTTTATGCTAGACCCGGCGGGCGTCAAATGGGAGTCGAAACGAAGCGCCGCACAAAACGAGCGGGGGGGATGGGGGGCACAATGGGATGCCTCTATCGACATCCCGGCCACCATCTCTAGGTTCGAGCGGTCGGGTGTTCCTTACCTCCTGGCTAACACATGGTCCCTGCTAGTCACTCTAGTTCCACCTTATAATAACGGCCAGGGCACTTACAGTGGTTAGCTGCAGTTAGTGCAGCCGCTCCACCACTGCATTGCCCATCTCGCCAGACTGCCCCCGTCATCACCTCCGATCTCCCGCGCATTTGCCCTGCTCTCGCCTTTGCACCCTGACACTCCTTTTTTCTTTTGCCATTAACATTCGAACCATTACAACCAACACCTCGACATCTTTTCCTCCTCTGATCTACCGTACTTTTCTTCACTTTCCGGTGCAACCCCAGGGCTACTGATTGACGCTTACGAGTCTGCCACTCGACTATCCTATCGACCGACGACAAATATCAATCGACCATACAAGGCTGCTTCCTCCTATCGCTCGAGCACCGTCTTCCCGTCCACACAGCGTCTCTTACCTACAGTAAACGTTATATCCCTGAGAGGAAAACCCACGGATCGTCACAGCGAACCCCTCCTCCCACCTTTCGGCGCCAACCCCGTACGCGACGCCATCCAGAGCGACCCCTTTCCCTCAAAGCACATCGTGGGACCGCCTTGCGACGACAAAACAGCATTTGCTAAATAGCACCGAGTTATCCGAAAATGGGCAAATCGTGAGTGTCCAAGTCCCCCGAACTTTCCGCGACTCTTGCCCCATCACCACCACCCACCGCCCGGCCGCTTTCTCCGCACCCCATCATCATCAATACGCACCGCATACCTGCTTCTCAGTTGTGGAGGAAGGACCGTGAACAGCCTTCTACCCCGTCTTTCTCATATCTACAAATCACACAATGCCCCTCTTTGGCAGGAGTCGTTCCTCTGCACAATCTCCCAAAACCGAAAGCAAGATGAAGAGGCTGACACTAACCCCCACCCGACACAGACAGAGCAAGCTTGAGCGTGATAAGTTGGAGGAGTTGGAAAAGGCCACCCACTTTGACAAGAAGGAGTTGCAGCAATGGTATAAGGGTGTGTTACCTTTCCCCGTCTCCTTTCCCTTATCGCCGACGACCCCTTTGAACACCGCCGCTGCCGCCGCCGCCAACAGTTACATCCCCCGACCAATGCGGCGCTTTCCCCATCATCGCAAGCGCTCACTTTGCGCCCTCGTTGCCTACCAACTCTTTCATGACCGGCCTCTAACAAAGACATTGATAAAATAGGCTTCCTCAAAGATTGCCCCTCCGGCATGCTCACCAAGGCCGAGTTTCAGAAGATCTACGCGCAGTTCTTCCCCTTTGGCGACCCATCCTCGTTCGCCGACTACGTATTCAACGTATTCGACACGGACAAGTCCGGCACCATCGACTTCAAGGAGTTTATCTGCGCCTTGAGCGTCACGAGCCGCGGCAAGATGGAGGACAAGCTCGACTGGGCCTTCCAGCTGTACGACATTGACGGCGACGGCAAGATCACCTACGACGAGATGCTCAAGATTGTTGAGGCGATTTACAAGATGGTGGGTTTTCCTTCCCATTATATCTATACATCCCTTCTCTTGTTGTCGCAATTTGTAACGCTAACTTACTTGTCACAAAAAACAGGTCGGCTCAATGGTCAAGCTCCCCGAAGACGAAGATACCCCCGAGAAGCGCGTCAGCAAGATCTTCCGCATGATGGACAAGGACGAAAACGGCAGCCTCGACATGAAGGAATTCAAGGAGGGCAGCCAGCGCGACGAGACAATCGTATCCGCCCTCTCCTTGTACGATGGTCTCGTTTAAGCCTTTTCTTTAATTTCATCACATCATTCGAGTTTTTCCTTATAAGAGGAGCAAACGGCGCGCAACGGTCTTCTGATAAAGCAAGTCATTAAGAGAAGGTGAAGCAGGAGGGAGGAGCATGGTTTGATGTGTGTTGCGGCCCCAGCAGGCGGGCTTCATATTTCCGGAGAAACAAGAGCTGGGAGTTTACAAAAGGGTGAAAAACAAAGAGGAATCAGTTGTTGTTCGTTCGGAAGCGAGATATCCCAGGGAAGAGCGTGATAGACCAGAGAAATGGTTGCGAGGAAGCGAGAGAAAGAAGGAGAGAGACAGAGAGTTCAGCCATCTCGGCTCGGCCCGGTTCGATAAGTGTGCGCGCGCAAACACCGATCGGATAAGATAACAAGAGAGCACAGCCAGCCCATACTGCTGGGGCGTCTTACCTTATCTTGTGTGGTTGAAAATGAGCCCCGCCGCTAGGTACCACGCATTCGGCCCAGTGCCTAGACGTTGACCGGGCTGTGGTGGTCTTTGGGGCTGTGCTGTTCTTGGCTTTGAGCGTCTTTAAAGAGGAGGTGTCTGACATGGTGATCACAGGGGATGGATGGATCGATGGATGGAGGGAACCGAGAGGAGAGGAGAACACACAAGGCGACGAGGAGAGATCGGGAATAAGGAGGAGGAGGAGGAGGAAGAAGAAGAAGAAGAAGAGGCAGGTCGTGATGAACGGCGTTTACCCGGTATGGACGGACACACTACTATTCGGTTTGGTCAACAACAACAACAACAACAACAACAACGACGACCTAAACCTAGAGGCTACCTCCTATGCTGTCGTGTGTATACTTTTAGGCTTGGTATTTTTTGAGAGTTTAGCAATTTTTCATTGTTTCATCGTTTCGGAAAACCATAGGAACCTTTGCATGCATATCCTGTGAACGCCATCAATCATGATGGTAGGTAGCCTCCATTCATTTAAACGCATCAAGATATCTTAACGACAGTTCCGGCCATCGTTACATCAGCTCGATATTGTTGTTGTTGTTGCATGGTTGATACTCCAAGGGATTGATGATATCATCAAATAATCTATCACAGCCACGGGAGATCAACAGAGTGACAAACAGTTAGTTGTATATGTATAGTGTTGTGTACAATCTAGCCCTGGTTTGTTTGTTAGTTTGGTATAAAAAAGCTAGATCTTACTAGAATTGGGAAAGCGGCCGAGATTCTCGCGGATAGATGCTGTGAATTGGTAGCTTGAAGTTTTGAAGAGGACGGAGAGATGCTTCTGTGGCGTTGAGAGCCCTGGTCATTGTCGAAACTCTACAAACGGAGACGAGATGTTCGGTTCCTAAGGCCAATGAGGGCTCTAAATTACCCTTGTTCTGCCCCGGTTCTGCCCCATCAGAAGAACCAAACTAACAAACAAACCAGTATTGTATTGTATACTATACTAGGTAACGTCCCCCCGATCCCCGTTACGGTAAATTTTGTCGCTTACCTTACCTACCTACCGAGCCTACCTAGCTAGGTAGGTAGAGACATTCGTGGTGACTGGTGAGTGATGATGATCTATCTCTCTTCATTCACAACATCTAGATTCTAGGTGGGTTAAAGTGACCAACCAGTACATGTCCCGGTAAGTCTTTGTTCGTCCGTCCACCTTGGACTGAGGTGAATTTCCAACTCAACTCAATATCATCGTTCGTGGGGGTTAAGTTGACATGCCTCACGATGGTTTCGATCCTAGCTCTTGTGGTTCCCCTTATGGCTCACGAACGAAAAGAGATGGTGAAAGGGGTGTTGTGGTATTCCATCCATCCAACCAAGCGAGCGAGCGGGCATCATGAACTCGCGTTCAGGGGTTATCTAGTAGATATGACAGACAGCAAAATTGCCATTATTACAGTAAGGTGGCCTGAATTGGTATGGTAAATCATTAAGAGACGCCATGAGGTACATCGGTGACCTGAATAACTAACTCCCTCTAAGAACTCATCGCAACGAAAAACGGAGCAAGTAAACCCGAGAACATTCGAACAAAAGCTTCGCAAACAGATCCCGTCCCATAAAAGAGAGGTAGTAAAGGTAGATTGGCAAAATATCCTAATGCATTTTTCGTCGCTTATATAGCAGAGAGTAGAGACCCATTAAGACATAACAGACATAAACCCCCCCGGCCACCGCCGCCAGTAACGTAACATAAAATAACTAGGAGTGGTATAATGGAAAGATGATTCGCGCCCCGAGACACACATAGACATAAGACATAAACAACAAAAACAACAAGGGAGTATTTTTTTTCATACAGCAATAAGAGTTAGGTAGGTGGCAACGGAACTCCTACTCCTTGGGGCCATAAGCCTCGTCAACCTCCTTCTTGTACTTGTTGAGGATGCCCTTGCGGTTGAGCTTCTGGGCGGCCGTTACGAGACCCTGTGAAAGATTCGGTTAGCGATGAGTTAAGTAAACAAACAGATGTGGACAGTGGGAAACTCACGTTCTGGGGGGTCCACTCCTCATCCGACATAACGACACCCTCGATAATCTCAATGCCAGAAAGGCCACCGGCACGACCGGCGTTCTGGAGCTCCTTGAGAACGGCAGCCTGCAGCTTCTTGTTGTGTACGAGCTCCTCCAAGCTGTCACCCTTGACACCGATCGAAGAGGCGAGCTTCTTAAGGGCGGGTTCCGCGGGAACGATGATGGCGATGGGCTTGGAACGATCCTGGTCGGCGTAGACGCAGATGTTGGCGACGACGGCGGCGGAGCGGTAGATGGACTCGAGCTTCTCGAGAGCAATGTACTCGCCGTTGAGAGTCTTGACGAGGTTCTTCTTGCGGTCGATGATCTTGAGATGGCCGTTCTGGTCCCACTCGCCGATGTCGCCGGTCTTGAACCAGCCGTCCGCGGTCACGGCGGCGGCGGTCTCCTCGGGGTTCTCGTAGTACTCAGAGAGCACAGAGGGGCCACGGAGCCAGATCTCACCCTGGGGGTTGGGCTTGTTGGTGGCGAAGTAACCGGCGTCGGGGAAGTCGATGAGCTTGGCCTCGATCGAGGCGGGCATGGCGCCGATAGACTCGGCAGTCCACTCGTTAGGGTTCTGGAGGGTACCCATAGCGGTCGTCTCGGTAAGACCATAGCCGATAATCATGGGGCAGATGGCCATGGAGATGAACTTCTGGGTATCCTTGGCGACGGGGCCACCACCGTTCAAGCAAAGCTTCATGCGGCCACCAGTGGCATCCTTGATCTTCTTGAACACAACGGCGTCCAAAAGGCCGCTTCCAGGAAGACCGTAGGCCATAAGCTTCTCCTTAAGAGCAAGCGCGCCCCAGAAAAGGTTGCGGAGAAGAGGGCTGCCAGCGTTGACCTTGGCGAGAATGCCCTTCTTGACGGTCTCCCAGACGGCGGGGACACCGACCAAAACGCTGGGGGTGAACTCGCGGATATCGCCGAGGCAGTTGCGCACGGAGGTGTCGGAGAGGGTCTTGGGGTTACCGTAACCCATGGTCGAACCCCAGTAGAGGGAGGCGTTCTCGAAAACGAACTCGAGAATGTGGGCGAGGGGAAGGTAGGTCAGGAGGCGGTCACCGGGACCAACGAAGGGCTGGACGACGGGGCAGACACCAGCGACTGGAACAAGGACGTTAGTAGCAGTTCACGCACAGAAAGAAAAGTTTGCGACCACTTACCGGCAGCGACGACGTTGCTGTGCTTCAGGGGCACACCCTTGGGGGTACCAGTAGAACCGGAGGTGTACATGATGCAGCAGAGATCCTCGGGGGCAGGCGCAACGGGCTCGACGGGGTTCTGCTTGCCGAGCTGGACAAGCTCGTCGAAGCTCAAGACAGTAACACCGCGCTCGGTCCTGAGAGCCTCAATGTGGGCATCCTTGGCCTTGTTCTGGTTGTTCCAGATGACGTGTGTGATGCCCTTGGCATGCTCAAGAACGCCGTTGAGGATAGGGAGGAGATGGGGGTCGAGGAAGATGGCCTTGGCGTTGGTAGCGACCATGGAGTACTTGAGACCCTCGGCGCCGAGAGTGTCGTAGGCGGTCACAATGGGCATGGACTGGGACGCGGAACCATGAGACATGGCGAGCCAGTTCTGGCTTGTGGCGGCGAAGATGTGGACACGGTCGCCCTGGTTGAGGCCGATGGCGCGCAGACCGGCGCCAACGTCGAGGGTGAGCTGCTCATACTCCTTGAAGGTAATGAACTCGTAGTGGCCGAGCTCGAAGTAGGTCCAGTTCTTGTCCACCTCGCGCTCCTCACCATCCACCATCTTCTTGACCTTCTTGGTCTCGACATGGGTGTTTACGAGCTTGCGGGAGCCCATGCACTGGTTGTCGCCATATGCGACGGCAGCCCACTTGACGAGCTTGTAAACGGTATCGATCTCCTCACCGATGGCGTGGTCCTCGCCCCATCGCCTGCTTGGGGGTCTGGCATGAAGACCGTCGATGGCGAGGGGGATGCGGCGAACAGGAGTCTCTCCATCGACGGGCTTCTGGCCTGGGACATCGAGAGTATAGGGGGGCTTGTTGACCAGCTTTGGGACTGGCGTCAAAAACGTCGGGGTAGCCATGATGGGCGATATTAGGAGTTAGGTAGGTAGAGCTCGAGAGCGCGTTTTTCTTTGTTGCTTAAGAGGAAGGCCGTCTTTATCGAGAAATGGGGGAGGAGATGCACGGATTGCCGAGGCCGCAGTCGCGCTAAACAAAATCCCGTCCTAGTGTCGGTTGCGGGACTTGATTTTACACGTGTCGTGTCGTCGTCTCGTAATTAACAAGGCAATGTAGAGGGCGTTGGTGGTTTGGATATGGTTAGGATAGTAGGGAGGTGAGAAAGGGAGGAAGAGGACGGGAGAGAGGACAAGAAGAGAGGTGGAGGTGGAAGCAACGGAAGGGAAAAGGACGGAGTTTTTTCTGTCTCTATTCCTTGACGGCAGCGGACGGGACGATGGACATACTTCAGTTGAGACTCGACTCGGGCGGGATGCGTCAGTTGGGGTTGGGATGCATCTTCATTTTGGGGAACCTTATGCCCACTTGGACTGGCAAGGGGCCCATTGGTCCACCACCTGCACCAAGAGCCCACCTTGAAGCCACTGGCCAGGGTGAAGTGCTCTTGCAACTCTTGGCCCTTGCGATGACGAAACAGCGGCTTGGCCTTTAGGTGCGCTAATCTCGATAAAGGATGGCGCGTCTCTAGGCTTCTCCACTATTAAGAAACAATATCACAACTCTAACGTTAAGAGATCGATATGCAGTGCTGGTAAAGTCACTTGCATCTTTTCCATTTCGAGTGCTTCTGCACACATGGCGCATCGCAGCAACCAGTTCGCAGACGCCATGTCGACTATTTTCTAGGCATCGGCGGGGTTATTGATCTGTCTTGTCGAAGGGTCAGACCGTCTGTCTCTTCCACGATAACACAGGGGTCTAGTGTGATGGAGCTCTTCCGAACAAGCCGGGCAGACCTTACACGTACCGGATCACCGTGGGCGGTCTCGGACTATTTTCCAGCGATATGGCCAGTCTCGATGAGATAAGCTTTGCAGGCACTGTTGGTTTAACCGGTTAGGCACGGAAAGAAAAGAAATTGGGTGATGCAACGAGATGCTACCATGCGGGTCGGATTTGGGTAGAGCCACAGGCCCACTAGGTAGGAGCGAGTCGACACATTGAACGGGACGCTCCCGTCTGACAGGCGACGATGAAGGACACTTCACAAGAATTCAACACCATGGGAGCACAATCACAACATCAGCCCCGAACACTCACTGGAGCCGAGCATTGGCAGTCCGGCCTATCGAACCTATCGTCTTGGCGAGTTGACCAAGCGAGAGTGATCTCCCCCGCCTTTTTTTGACGCCCGTCCCGAGAGCCTCCACAGCTGGAATGCATCTCCCATGCGCGCATCTCTCCGAGCTCCGAGGTGCTCCGGCTCGGCCACATGCCCATATGTATATAAGACGGGGCACACGGAGACGGGAAGGGAGATGTGCTGGAGGACAGCAGGGACAACAGGGACAGCATGCATCACCAACAGGGAAAGCTGTCGACTGTCGTCTGTTGTCCCGCCGGACCAAGCATTGGAAATGGAGACCCGGACGGCGCCCCACGGAAATCCATCGATCGCGGTGTTCGAGTCGATTCGTTGGTTTTCTCCACTCCGTCTGCTCAACAAAAAATGTCATCCCTGTCTGCTCCCCACTCGATCTTAATTGGAGAAAAAGAGAGGAAAGATCCGAAGAGACATCGTCTGTGTGAATTTCCTATCTCGTAACTTGCAGGATCGATTGGCATCTCACTGCACTCACACATTGCGTCGAACTGTGCGTCAGTCGTCTGTATGTAAGTGGCAAGTAGCTTGCCCATAGCAACAACAACAAGACGTCCGGACTACACATCGTCAATAATACTACAATGGAGAGGCAACAGGAGGGGCGCTGCGAAAAGTTAGAGAGCTTTTTGCGACTGCTCGGAAACGAGATCAAGGACTCGGACGACGCTGATGAAGGTTTGCGCGAGTGCCTTCTTTCTCAGTAAAAAAGGAGCCTCATAGAACTGACTCAACCAACCAAAACAGAGACATATGATCTCTACGCCCAAGACTTGCCCTCATCAGATCTGGGTATTATCGACCCCAAGACCACCGAGTTGCAACTCACCGTGGCCGGTCGAGAGCTCACGATCCATCAATCCCCAGGAATCCTTTCCTCGGCCCGTGCCGGAGGTACCACCGGAGCCGGTGCGTAAATAAAAAAAACCCACCCACCCAGCCATGCCATTGCCAGCTCCTCGGGACCAGTCCATTCAAGTTATCCACCACCACCACCCTACGTACCCTCCTTCTGTTCACACTACCCCTGGCCTTGATCCCTACTTATCACTCGTCCGTTGCCTGCCCCATATGACGATTTGTCATTCATCATCTCCTTAACCGTTGCTGGAGCAACAGCTTCTGTTGTTGACTTTGGCATTCGTTATCGATGCGCTTCCCTTTCCCCTGTGCCTTTTTTCCGGTCCATGTTGCTGTAGCATTGAGCACACATCTACACGTGTACATAGGTAGCAAACTACTTGTAGTGTACCTACCTACATATATGCACACTCGCACATAGCCGGAGACGCTCACATACCTATACCTATACATTACACATCGACTCACATTTCCTCCTCCTCATCTTATTCGTCCTTTTTTTTCCCCAAGTCTTTTCATTTCCCGCTAAACGCATTCTGAATACCCTTTCCAGACTCTCTTCACTCTCCTGGGCCCTCTTCCAGACCCCTTTCATACTATCCTCAACCCATTTCGCACCCACTTACTATCGAACTCATATCCCACCCCCTTCCTCCCTTCCACTCTCCCCCCTTCTTCCATCCTATCCCTCCCCTCCCTAACCATCAACTACCCTTCAACAATCATCAGAAACAAAAGACTAAATAACCCAAAACCCAAAAAGTAACATGGCGAATAACCCCCCTCTTCGCAACCTGGATTTCCTCCGCCTCCAACCCTCTCACCAACCACCTCAACCTCCTTAACAACCCTTCATCAACAATAATCGAACTAGGCGCCGGCACCTCCGCCATCGTCGGCCTCCTTCTCGCTCCGCGCGTGGGTAGGTATGTGCTTACCGACCAGGGGTATGTGGCGAAGCTGGTTGAGCGCAACATTACGGAAAATTGGGCTTCGGTATCTCAACAACAACAACAACAAACTAGCAGCGGCGGCAGCAAGAGCAGAAAAGGAGGTCCGTCGAAACAGAAAGATAAGAGCGGTGGCGGCGGCGCGGAAGCAGGAGGACCTGGACCCGGTGAACGGCTCGTCTTCCGGGCACTAGACTGGGAAACCGACACGCCCACCTCCTCCCTAGCTCACCCCGTCTCCTCCTCCTTCGACCTAGTCCTGGCATGTGATTGCATCTACAACGAAGCCCTAGTCGATCCGTTCGTCTCTACCTGCGTCGACATTTGCAAGCTACGACGACACTCCGACACCACAGTCGCCGCCGGGGACAAGAAGAGGCCAGCAGCGGTGGTAGTGGTCGCGCAAGTCTTGAGAGATTCGGATGTGTTTAATGCGTGGATTAAGCGGTTTGTGCAGGATTTTCGGTGTTGGAGGGTGCCTGATGAGATGATGATTGATGAGTTGAAGAGCGAGGGTCAAGGGGGAAGTGGAGGAGGAGGAGGGACGTCGGGGTTTGTGGTGCATGTTGGGGTTTTGAGGGAGGGGAGGTGAGGTGAGGGGAGGGGAGTACATGGCTTGGGAGGTGGGGATGCTGGGTAGTGGGTCTTAAGAGAGGGATAAAGTGAAGATGAAACCGAAGTGAAGAGCGATGCGCTGGATTGTCTTGTTGGTTGGGAACACTGTAGAGAGGCAGTAAAATCTGACTGGAAGATCACGCACTTGTCTGGAGGCATACTCGGGAGGTTGAACTGCTGTCAAAAGATTGTGATCATTAGATGATAGTATATAACCCATATACCAGCGGACGCAAAAGGCCCAAGTACCAAAACTCCCAACCCCAGTTCGATCTGACATAGAAGCCCTTGAAGGCCGGTACGAAACCTAAAACCATCTGAAGCTTAAATCATCCGAACACGTCTGTCTGTGCGCGGTGTCCCGTTCATCCAATGTCCTGTAGTAGCGCGCTAAAAGAGTCGACATTAAACCCCCTAAACCAAATCCCAAGCACATATCCCCTTGAAACTGTACGCACACCTCCCTTTCCTCCTCAAATACTCCTCCTTCGTCAACCCTCTCGCACACTTATTATCTAACGTCGTCACCGCAAACACCGTAATCTTCTGTCCCGGCGCCCCCAGATCAATAGCAGGTATGTCTGCCCACCACCAAAACCCGTCCGTATCAATGGGCACGAAATCCTTCTTTCTGCCATCTCGCCCCTCGATCGCCACGACGAACAGGTACTGCTTGCCCCCTCCGTTCTTCTCCGGATCCCAGTGCACGCACACCTTGCTGAACTGAAACCGGACCACTTCGCCGCTGTAGACGGGAATTGTGGCCGTACGCGGCTCCAGACTGAACTGGTCCAGTCCGTCTTTGTCTGCGTCACCGTACCAGCACGGAGTAGGGCCGTCTCCGAGAATGTACTCCTCCCAAGTCAAGATGCGGCCGTCGGAGCGGTAGAAGTGCCGTCGGTCTGTCGGAAAGTGTTTCTTGCCGATGATCTCGTTGGGCAGGTAGAACATCTCCGGGCTAAACTGCTTATGGTAAAGTCTGTCGTCGCCTAGGTGGCCGGCGCCCCAGCAAGCGTCGATGATCTTCCATTCACCGCCGTCAATGCGGACCGCGTTCCAGGCGTGGTTTGATTCTTCGGGGGGAACAGGAGAGCCAGAGGTTAGATCGTGGTGGCCGAATCCCTTGCCGTGACCACTGATGAGGACACAGTCGAGCCCAGCAGCGAGGGCAATGGCTTTGTACACCTCTGCGTAACCCTGGCAAACGGCTTTGCCGCTGAATATCTGCTCAGCGGGTGTCGAATGGTGCGGAATGCAATCATTGAAGAAGCCGTGGGTGTCGTATGCCATGTTGTGGTGACACCAGGTGAAGATGGCGCGGGCCTTGTCAGTGGGCGAGTCGAACGGGTCACAGAGGACGTGGGCTAGGTAACGAATGGTGTCATGGCGCGGAAGCGAAGAGGTCGGGTGCTGCGCCGCAACACTATCAGGCCCGGAGAAGTCTCGGCATATGAGGCAGACAGGACCGACTGGAGGGGCGGAGACTGATCGAGGAACCACCTCGGTGCCAGTGGTTTTTCGAGATACAACGACATCAAATGTAGGTCGAGAACTAAGCGGGATGGGTGGTGGTGCTGGCTCTGGAACCGATTTTGGTCTGTAACTGAGTGGTGGAGGTGGCAGACTGCGGTTGGGAAGGGGTGGGCCTGGCTCTTCTTCAACGTCGGGGAAGGTAGAATGCCTAGCTGGTCGCGAAGGAAGCCTAGGCGGCAGAGATGGGCGTGATGGGAGTGCCGGGGGTTCGCGGGACGTAGCAGGCGGAGGCGGTAACGAAGAGCGTGAGGGAAGTCGCGGGGGGCCTTGGGGCACGGCGGGCGGAGCTGATCTATCTGCTTCTCTTCCTTGCTCTTGCTGTGCCTCCCTGGCCTTTGCTTCGAGCTCACGTCTTGTCGGAGGTAGTGGCGGGAGGTTGGCTTGATCGAAAGCTGGCGGTAGCTTCCTAAGGGGATGGCCATTATCGGACGTAATGCTAGTGCGCGCAGACGAAGAGGCCGTGTTGTTCCAGGACGATGTGGACACATTGGAGAGGTGTGAGATGTCGGACGAGTTGGAATTTCTTCGAGCGCCTGGGACAGGGAGAGAAGTGGAGGTTGTTCGTCGAGGTGGGAGAGCCGGAGAGGTTTGTTGAATAGAGTTTCGGGAGGGCAATGGGGGTGGTGGCGGCTTCTTGGTCAAGGTGGGCATCGGCTTGTCCTCAGGGATGTCTTGTTCGGTGGTTCGTCGCGGCAATGGGGGAGGCCTGTCAACAGCAGAGGCGGCCCGGGTTGGGCGTGGAGGGAGCGATGGAGTCGGGGGGCTTTCATTTCGATTCGGTGATATGGGATGGACAACAGGAATCTCTGTTGCAGCTCGAACGGGGGGCGGGGGCGGAGGTCGTTTTCCAGCAGTCGAAGGGGCTTTGAAGTTCTTTTGCTGGTTCAGGGCAGCGATACGCTCCGCCAGCGTGTTGAACACAGGCTCTTCCACGTCGGCCATCTTGAACAATCATGGAAAGAGCAAGATTGGGAGAAAAGAGTGAGAGCAAGAAACTAGGTGAGAAGGGGGGAAGGCTGAGTTTTCAATCCCGGGCTCATCCAGGTACTCGGGTTATCTCGCCAATAGCAGGGGTGGAATTGAGCGACGGAGGCTGAGAGAGTCTGGTGGTCATCTTAGCGTTGCATTCATAGCCGGGTTTATGGAGCACTAACACTTCACTCTAGGCAGCCACAGTCAATATCCACTCTCAAAGTGCGCCGTTGATTCTGGGCTTGGAGAGCACTTGATTGGAGATGATAACTGAAGAGTCTCCAGCTCTGATAACGAAGCCGCCAAATTTTTGACTCTTCAACTCATAGATCCTAAAGAAATTCAAAGTCGTGAATTCGAAACATTTGATTAGGTAAGAGCCAGATACAAGCAGGGGCATGTTGTCGGTGGAGTTCCACTTGTCACAGCCTTCCAAGGCGTTGAATCAGGCGTTGTCCCTTGAGACTTCAGCTGTTAAAGGTCCAGAAGGTCCATCCAATGATGGAATAAGTGGGTCTTTTCCTCCCGTCCCCTGTCCGCGTGCCTGCCATGCCGCGCCTAACCCGCTACCCCGCCATCCCACCTGTTAAGGTAGGTAGGGCGTGGCTCCCCCGCAGTGCCCGCTAAAAAGCAGATCAACCCCCCAGGTTACCCATTCCATGGTGCAATGTCAACAAGCCATCCCCTGCCACAGGCCTGCCTCTCAGCCAAGAGACAGGCAGGAGGAGATTGCCCGCTTTCGACTTCCATCTCGAACTCGATGCCTTAGGGCCGTCGCGTCTTGGATGGAACCAGCTCCTTCACTTTCCTCCTTGCATCTCAACGGGATCTCCTTCTGGCTCCGTACTCCCCCAGAGACGGCAACAACAATCAGATGACAAGCTAAAGTATCGGCAAAGTACATATACCTCTCCCACTCCCACGCCGCCAACTCTGTCCCTTCATCCACAGAACGAAACCATCAATCACATATTCTGGGCCTCATTTCATTGGACTTTGCTCTTATCCCGGCCCGAACAAACAGACGACTACAGGACGGCCACAGGACGCGTTACCCGACAGCTCTGCATCCGAGTCGCCGTTGGTACCCAGCCGCAGCGGGCGTCAAGTCCCGACCCGTCCCGTGTGTACAGCTAACAGAGCAGAAGCATATCCATAAGCTTATCCAGCATCACATAAAAAGTAGAGGTAGCTGCTCGGCTGCTCGGCTGCCCTGACAGAAAGACTACCTTATTGCATCTTTCTACTTGTGCCTGCGGCATCGGTACAATTTTGACTTTTTCTCCCCGCACTTCTCCAAGATGTCTGAACCCGATTCAGCAGCAGCCACGGGCTCGCACGAGAACAGTCATGCGTCGCCCGCCGTGAACCCTCACAGCTTCTTGGGCATGCCGTCAGAGATCCAAAAGGATATCATCAAGCACTGTTGCCAGCACGACCTCATCTGTCTCGCCCTTGTCTCCAAACACTGTCGAGAACTGGCCGCTTCCCAGCTGTATCGCCAGTTCCACATCGTTTTCCCTGACGAGGATGATCCGTCCTTCGACTCCCAAGGTATTGATGGACTGGCTGGCGGGCTGGATACCTTCGTGACCAGCGACTACGACTATGCGAAGCATCTCAAAGATCTTTCACTCGACACCCTTAGTGCCGGCAGCAAGGGGGAGGCTGCTTACAAGCCCTACCTCTTCAACACCAGCTGCGGAAAGTTTATGAACACCCTTCTGCTTCTCACTCTGCGCAAAGCAAACAAGCTCGAGACTTTCAAGTACGCCCATCCAGTTATTCCCAGTTCTACACGTACACCGTTACCAGAATGTCTGTGCTAACCCTTGTATCTTTACCAGGTGGAATATCCGCGTCGAGCTTAGCCGTCCCGTATACGCCGCGCTACACGATATCAAGACCATCGCAAACATACACATACGCATGCAGGCAGGCCCGTCTTTATATGAAAAGCCGCCTCCGCTCCCTCATGCCGTTCACCCACCGCCGGTCTTTGCTCCCGGCCAGCCGCCGGTACACTGGATGCCTCAAGGCACTCATCCGCCCCCGGTTCCTCCGCAGCAGGGTATAGACTTAGGATCACAGATAACGACCGCTAATTCGACCTTTATGCCTGTCTACTTTGTTCAAGGCAGCCTTGTTCAAAGTCAACAGCCCCCTCATCCACATACCTTTGCTCAACAGCCTCCTCATCCACAGGCTTTCCCTCAGCAGCCTCCACATCATCAGCCTCCCGCTCCCAAGCCCCCCTCCAAGACAAAAGCGCAGAAGCGACCTCACGTCCTCCCGGAACCCCCAACCCTATCAGGATTCAAAAACCTCAAGAGCCTCGCCGTTCTCGATATTGACACCCTGGATATTGTAACGGAAATCAAAACCTGTGTTAGAAACTCGGCCGGGACCTTGACCAAGCTGAAACTGTCTTTTTCGGATTTCCTCGCATCACAGGCTCGGAAGCCGCCGGCCCCGGAAGTTGTTACGGACGATAGTGATGAGGAGGAGTTGTCCGTCTGGTCCAATCCTGGCGTGGCCCCGAATCCGCAACCCAGTAGTGCGGTCGAGAGTAGTGGAGCGAAGGCACACCGGGCTCAAGAGGAAAAGAAAACCCAGGAGTCCGTCTTGGGGCGTATCTTCGATGTCGAGCACTATGTTGTCAAGAAACCACAGAAGGTTAAGTCAAAAGAAAAGACACCAGCCGAGGCATTGAGCTCGGACCCTGGCCAAAACTTCATCAAAAATGTGATGAAAGCGGCAGAGGTTCTCATGAAGGAGAAGGGTGACATGCGGCGGGAGGCTCTTGATATGATCGAAACTGCCGCCAGTGCTTATGTCGCTTCCTTAAAGACCAAGGAGAACGGGACCACGTCTGCGAGTTCCGAATCTCAGTCCGCTCAGACCAAGGTTGAGGCAGAGGGCGAACCAAATACTGCGGGATTGGGAAGCGGTTCCATGGGTTCTTCTGTCCCTACCAGACAAAAAAAAGAAGGTGACGATTTCAGCCCGGAAGACATCAATATTGAAGATCCCGAGGGAGAACTCGAACTGGATCCGGGATCTCCAGGTCCCAAAATTGAGGACACAGAGACTGTACCCGAGTCATCACCTTCGCAATCTCTGTCGTTGGCAACAGGCGGCCTTGACCCCGCTTCTGTCAAGAAGGCCGTGGCCAACTTGGTAGCGCAAAAGGTTAACTATCAGACTTTGATCAAAAAACTTGAGATTTTTGAGGCACGAGCTAACGACCTTCGCAAGGAAACCGAAGAACTGCGCGAGCAAGACGGGCCTATCGATCGCGAACGTATCGCTAGAACCGAGAAGGAGATTACAGAGCTGAGCAACGGGATCGAAAAAGCTAGGAGCGAGATTAACGTGGTCGAGGCCGAGGTAGCCGATTCGCAAAAGGAAATCTATGGTCTCCGCAACTCGGATACCATTGAGTCCCAGCGTCAGCGGAGGAGTGAATATGCACGAGCGACAAGGGGCTTGCCTCTTCAGTCACTCAGCATCTACCTGGTTCCGGTCAAGCCTTCAGTCTTGGCCAAGGGCGTTGATATTCGGATGCTCACTCGCATCACTCTCCTCAATGTCGGGCCGCAAGCACCGATTTGGGCTTACTTCAAGAGCCAGAATGAGGAAAATCCTCTCCCGCTTTGCAAGATCTTCACTGACAACATCACGGAAAGTTTCTTGCAATTTATATCCCAACTGAACCAGGTAACCGAGCTGTTCTTGCTCGAGAGAGACGCCAAATACAAGCCCGAGAGCTTCGCAACCAAGACGAAGACGGTCATTGACGAGATTCGGCGACTGGCACTCAGAAAGCACATGCCTCATCTGCGGAAGCTCATGATCAAGAACTTGGCCAGTAAGGCATGGGATTTGAACGCCGAGGCCATAAAGCTGTTGTGCAAGCGTGGCAAAAATCTTGAAGAGCTTGCCTGCAGCATGAGTATGCGTTGTCTGGTAAGTGCCCCTAGGACTGACCGAATCTATCAGAACAGTTCACTAACCTCAGAATCTCAACAGCATACTTTCAACCAAAACGCGCGCTTGCTCATCAACCTTCACGCTCTTCACATCATTAGTCTCCGTTGCGATGACCCGTGTCCCTCTCTTTCGCAAGAAGCGAAGAAGTTCCTAATCGACAGCCTCTCGCAGCATCCATCGAGGAAGCTCGAATGGATTTCCATCAACGACGGCGACGGCGTGGACCATATCAAGTTCCGCAAGCCGCCGTCCGCGGAAGAGAGGAAGAGGAGAATGGCGGCCAAAAAGGCAAAGGGCAAGGCCAAGGCCACGGTGACCACCACCAGCAACGGGACATCAAACAATACCACCCAATACCCGACGTTTCCTCCCCCGGAAATCTGGGATGGTGAAAGTAGTGCTGACGACTCCTATGCGGATGAGGAGTTGAAAACTTTCATACCTTTCGAGCGGTTGGGGACTATGCGCTTCTATGATGTGGAGGGGGTGAGGATCTTCAAGAAGGAGGTTGTCAGTGGCCGTCTCTGAAGAAGTCCCAAACATGACGCGTAACATTAACACCAGCGGAATCTGGGGACATGGTAATGAGGGAATGAAATGACGAACAGCGATTTGTATTTTTACTGTATTTTTTTTTGTTTTTGTTTTTTAATTTTATCCGATGAACGGGATCGACACAACCTCCGGATTCAGCCAGAGGTTAGATGTCGATTTGGGAAGGGCATTGAAGTGGTGGTGGTGGGGTGGTGACGGTTGCTTTTGACATCGGAGGAGAGCTTTTGAGCGTTCATTTCGGAGAAGAGATAGAGGAAGGTAGATGAGATGAAGTGGAATATACCCAGTAGTCTTTTTTTGCTTTCATCTATAACGCATAATCAGCTTCTAGTCTGATCACTGTCGTAATTATTTTCGTGTGAACGCCTTTGAACTTTATAATGGGTCGTGCCCGCCATTCGTTCTCATCAATGACAGCGAACGCATGTAGATTGGAAGGCGCAATCTGTGTGATCACTTGATGGCGTAATAATTCCGAACTACAAGCTGAACAGGAAAGAGCTCTCGCACTCGTTGTCCAGGTTAGACTCCGTTCTCGCCAGTAGTGGAAGCAGGTACACCCAAAGCCATGAAATATCTCCCAAGTGATATTGATGCTGGCCCACTTATTCGCAACCATAATCCCTTTCTTTCTCCCCCGTCACTCGCCATCGGTATTATCATCATATCTTTACTTCCGCCCCCAATATCCACTAACATCCAAGCCCACCCGCCAATCTACTGATGCCCTCCACAAAGCTCGGAGACTGCTAGGTTATTGGTAGAGCTCAGTTGTGTTGAGCACACATCTCCGTCCAGAGAATCGTCAGTGCCGAAGAGAATCGTCAGTGCCGAAGAGAATCGTCAGTACTTAGGCAGACCATGGCCTCTCACTCTCACCACAACCACCCATCATCACACTCATGCCAACCACCGCCACTAGGCCTCGACGGCGCTACCCCTTGGCCAGGTCCCATCTACAGACAACCACCAGCCACAGCCTGTCCCCCGCCCCCCTCGCAAATCTGGCCACCGACATCAATCCCATGCGAAGACAGAGATGTCAATCAAGGCAGACGAGATTCGTATTCCAAGCAGCAGCCCGGTAGCACTAGCACTAGCAAGCCGTACCCCCCGGTGGCCCCTACTACCAGAAAGGCAGCGTCAGTGAAAAGTTCGGGATCGTCTTCCAGCCGCGGCGGCCGGAAGAACATCATCGCTGCCTCGGTTAAAGGGTTCTTCCACAGTTTGAGGCCTAGCAATTGTCCTGAGCAGGGCTTCACGCTCCGAAGGCATCATGATCATCATAGTCATGGGCATCAGACGATTGATGAGATCTTGACGGGGGAGAGCCGGCATTACACCCCGAGTACACCGGATACCATTGTGTCAGAAGCTTGGAATATTCCTGTGGCGCTTCCTCGAAGAGCTTCGGGTGTCAGTGGAAAGTCAAGGGTTCAATGTATGTAAACCTGTTCGCCTCGCAAGCCTTGAAGTTGTAACACCAGGACTGACATTAACCAAGCAACCCCTATTCCAGTCAGGAAGATCAAATCCAGGTTGGATACGAGATCGGATGACGGCCCTAATGCCACTCATCACCGGGGCGAAGACGCAATTTCATCGCTTGATGGAACTTGGGCCAACATGAGGGAACGCCGAGTGAAAAGCGGAAATATCCCTACCTTTTCCATGCCATCGCGGAAACCAGTGCCAATCCAAAACCGCAGTTCTCTTCCCATCCCTTCCCAAGCTAATGTAGGCACTGCCAAGTCCCATAACATTATGCCCTCAGTGATGCCGGCCTATAACAAAGCTCGCTCATTGTTCCTAGCAAAGCAAGAAGCCCGGCGCCAGCGCCGCATTTTGAGAGAGGCCGGTGACTACCTCGGAGTGACAGGGGCGAACCCTTATACCGGGATGTTGGACAACATAACCCCCAGAACAAGCATAGACATGACGGAGTTTCGTCGCGGTTTTCCCCAGTCATCGCCCCAGAATGAGAAAAAGGGGCGTGGTACCGGGAAACAGACTAGTCCTCGGCGGCGGTCCAAACTCGGCAAAGAAGCAGAACAGTGGTCCTCCGCGGCGTCTCCAAACTTAAGTCCGATCGTCCAGAGCCAGAGCCCAAGCAACAAGAGTGCAGAACCTGCTCAGGCGGGTCAGTCAGCTACCTCCAGTCACACTTCGAAGTCTTTTTTAGGGATGGGGACAATGGCGGTTATGGTACCGTCAGGAGGAGGCCCGGCTTCAGCGACCTCATACCCGTCGAGAGCGAGGTCTCTCAGGCTACATTTCCATCCATTGATTCCCCGGCGGCTGGGTCCCGGCCCGATGGACACCGGCCCCGTCCAGGGCCAGACTGGGATAAAGAAGCCCTTCTCCAGGATCCCAGTGCCAGATGGCCACCCAGTTTCGCGCAAGATGTTGCCAGGAACCCCCATGACACCCGTTCCCAGCAGCGGCGAGGTCACCTACCCACATTTGGACCTCGCGAACCTGAACCCAGCCCGCCAATGGGCGAACATGCTGATGGAGGATCTGGGTGGCCTGGAGCGCAGCATCCGGGACAGCACCAGAGAAGCCAAGGCATGGGCGAATTCCGTAGCCCAGGACATCAGTGGACTGGGACAGGCGCTCCACCTCCCACAACCCCAATCTGCTTGCATACCCACCATCACCATTACTGGCTGCGAGTCCAGTCCTCGCCGTCAGCTCCCCTCCGCCATAAAGGAAACCTGCCCCGAAGGACCCGAAGCCAAGGCCCCTCGAAAGGCAAGAAAGACGTCGGGGACGAGAGCAGTCAAGAAGGCTCAGAAGACGACAGAATCCGTAATCGTATCGTCGTCACACCAGACATCGTCCCTGTCGCCGAGCGCCATACCCAAGAACGGCTCTTCGACGCCGCTGGATTCCCCTCCCAGCAAGCAACCGAACGTCTCGCCGAAACTCGCAAGACCAGATCTCCATCATCATCACAGCTGGACGGCATCACTGACGGCAGACCGAGTTGCAGAGATGGTGGCAGAAGATGTGGCACAAGCTTCCCAGGACGAGTTACCAAAAGTAGCCAGCGTTATTACATCGTCAACCCAAGAGACAATGCGCACGGAGGACTAGGTGAAAACCTCCCGGCGCGTGTCGACGCCTCGTCCTCAGAAACAGCCGGGTCGGGAGATGCGCAAGACGATGAGAAAGGAAGCGGAAATCCAAGACGTAACAAACGGAAAGAGACTGTCACCACTCAGGTCCACTTATACGCGCCGGCCAAGTCTGGCGAAGTCGAAGAGCTGGTCGGCGCATCAGGGACCGGCCGATATCAAAGCTTTCACGCAGGCGATGGCGCAGGGAGCAGCGCGGGCAGCATTTGTGCAACACGCGGCGGACCAAAGAGCAGGACCGGAAGGGATCCCGGCCACGGGACGGACCATAACTGGAGACACGAAAGTTGGGGTAGAATCAACGGCAGCAGCCAAGAGTGCGATGGAGGCCGAGTTGGGAACAGGCCCGGTAACGTCATTAGCAGAACAAATGAACAAGCGTCACAAGCTGAAGGACAGCGCCGGCCACGGCAGCGGAGACATCGACGGTCGTTCCAGAAGCCAAGAAGCGATGTCAGAACAAGCCAGTGAACCCCAGACGTGCCAAGGGGATGGGGCGGCGGCTAGTGACGATCTGTACCGGCTTTTCCCAGGCTTGGCACTCCCTGTCAGGTATCTGATGGTGGCGGCGGGATCGGGAGGGCAGGGCTTTGAGGTGCCGGTTGGGGTCCGGATCGTGGTGTCGGTAGTGGCTACCTTTGTAGCGCAGTTTGTCTGTGCGTACTGGGCGTTTGTGCGGCCGGTGTTTCATCTCGACTCGCCGCTTCACAAGAGGTACGCACGGGGCCAGGCGACGCTGGGAGACGTGGTGGTTTATATATTTGCGCTGATGTTTGTCTTCTTTGCGGGCGCGGCTGTGGTGTGGATGATCAGGGGCACGGTTCTTGTGTGCCGCCTGGCCAGGGCGATTATCGGAGGATTGGCAATGCTGGCGGGTTTGTGAGTGATCACAATGATACCTAGTTGAGTGTTCTCGGCTGTGGAGACTATGTTTAAATGGGTGGAACGTATGGTATGAGTGTGATTGTAACTTCCCTTTTCAGATTGAAGAGCATGCGGTGCGAGCATGGGGACATTTGACATGGAGAGGATGAAGAAGAAGAAATTGTTGCAGTAGCAGTGTTGTTATCACTATCGAGTATCGCCTATCGCCTTCTCAAACTCCGAAAACATCGTTCAGGAAACACGAGGTTGCTTCGGAGTTTGTTTGTTTGTACAATGGATATTCTTACGTATCAAGTTGCACGAGGAGGATCCGTACCTGAAATGAGGGCGGTGTTGGAAATATTATTTCTTGAAGAAGGTGATGGTGGAGCGGGAACGATCCGTCGTGGGACATCAAGGTACTCGGTGAGAAGTGTACCGAAGACCGGACCTGAGACCTGACAGGAGGTTTTACCTAGCTTGGGAAATATCATTACTCTCAACACAAATGGGTATTGATCATATGATGATCTACAACAATATTGTCTTGCGCATTCTCTCCTGTTCGTATGCCTTCATCGTCGCACCGCCCTCTTCTCCGGAGTCCGGAACCTCGGCTGGCCATGGTTCGGGACTCCATCGTCAGGGAGCCCCGTGTGGCCCCCAAGGCCCCGTAGTCAAGCCGTCGCATGCCGCAGCGTCATGGATCAGGATGGCCGGTCTCGACGTGGCAGCAGTTGCCCGGCCGAGATCGGGAGACCCAATGGCGGCGGTCGAAGTTGTCACAGCGCCTGACAGTGCGTACCTGAGCGGGTGGAACTGGCAAGTGGGAATCTTGCGCGCGGCCAATGGGCATCACCCCTTTAGAAATTCCAGTGGCCACCCGAGCCCACCCCGCATTCCGTGAACCGGAGCTTGATGCTTGCCTTCCGAATATCGGCCGCCCCAGCCCTGCGGTCACTGTCGTCTCTTTGGTTCCGTATGGACGAGATCGAGCCACGAGCGGATCGCCTCAGGCGACCAGGGAAACAGAGAAATTGTTTGTATCTAGATTTGCGAATTGGGGGTCCAACTCTTGAAACGGGGGGAAACTTAAAAGGTCCTTCTTGCCACGGCCGTCTCAGTCTCACCTCCTTTCCCGCTTTTGCTTCCAGTCCAACTTCTCGCTCTCAACTCTCTCCCCAATCTTTCCACATCCCAACTACATACCCTTTCTTATACCCGGGATTATCAAACATCATCATCTTTGTATCTTGTTTATCGAGAACCGAGCCGAGAAGGATAACTGCATCGCCGATATTGGTCGAGACATCAAAGCCAGAGCCGAACCGGAAGCTAGACAACCCCACGCCGGTTTCCCAACCCACGACTTCTCTCCCGTTGTCCCTTGACTGTGCCAACGTTATATACCCCGCCCTCTCTCTCTCCATCTCTCTCCAATCGCCAGCCAGGGGACCACCGCCTTCACATAACCGCCACAATGCCGTCAGCAGAAAGCACCCCCCGCACTCTTTACGACAAGGTCTTCCAGGCCCATATCGTCGACGAGAAGCTCGACGGTACCATTCTCCTCTACATTGACCGCCACTTGGTCCACGAAGTCACCTCTCCTGTAAGTTTGCGCCAAACCCGAAATCTCTTCGAGCCCAATGCCGAGAGAGCTCAAGCTCCGGTTTCGCAGCCCAGTACTGACCCCCTTATCAACAGCAAGCTTTTGAGGGTCTCGAGAACGCCGGACGCCAAGTTCGCAGGCCAGACTGCACCCTCGCTACCACCGATCACGTAAGTTCAATCCCGTCGGCACGTTCCTTCCATGCGCATGTAACTGACGCCAGACCCGCTGTAGAATGTCCCCACCACCTCCAGGAAAACGCTGAAGGATATCGGCAGCTTCATCAAGGAGGATGATTCAAGGACGCAGTGCGTCACCCTCGAGGAGAACGTCAAGAAGTTCGGCATCACATACTTTGGCCTCAGCGACAAGAGGCAAGGTATCGTGCACGTCATCGGCCCCGAGCAGGGCTTCACCCTTCCCGGCACCACTGTCGTCTGCGGTGACTCCCACACTTCCACCCATGGCGCTTTCGGCGCCCTTGCCTTCGGTATCGGTACCTCCGAGGTCGAGCACGTCCTCGCCACCCAGTGCCTCATCACCAAGCGCAGCAAGAACATGAGGGTTCAGGTCGACGGTGAGCTCGCGCCCGGTGTTAGCTCCAAGGATGTGATCCTCCACGTTATCGGCCAGATCGGTACTGCCGGCGGTACTGGTGCCGTCATCGAGTTCTGCGGCTCCGTCATCCGCAGCCTTAGCATGGAGGCTCGCATGTCCATCTGCAACATGTCGATCGAGGGCGGTGCTAGAGCCGGTATGGTCGCTCCCGATGACATTACCTTCGAGTACCTCAAGGGCAGGCCCCTTGCCCCCAAGTACGGATCCGAAGAGTGGGACAAGGCCGTCGCCTACTGGAAGTCTCTCGCCTCCGACCCCGACGCCAAGTACGATATCGATGTCTTCATCGACGGCAAGGATATCATCCCCACCGTCACCTGGGGTACCTCTCCCGAGGACGTCGTCCCCATCACCGGTGTTGTTCCCGACCCCGAGACCTTTGCTACCGAGGGCAAGAAGGTCGCTGGCCGTCGCATGATCGAGTACATGGGTCTCGTCCCCGGCACCCGCATGGAGGACATTGAGGTCGACAAGGTCTTCATCGGCTCCTGCACCAACTCCCGTATCGAGGATCTCCGCGCTGCCGCCCAGGTCGTCAAGGGCAAGAAGATTGCCGCCAACATCAAGCGCGCTCTCATCGTCCCCGGCTCCGGTCTCGTCAAGGACCAGGCCGAGGCCGAGGGTCTCGACAAGATCTTCCAGGAGGCCGGTTTCGAGTGGCGCGAGGCTGGTTGCTCCATGTGCCTCGGCATGAACCCCGACATCCTCTCCCCCAAGGAGCGTTGCGCCTCCACCAGCAACCGCAACTTCGAGGGTCGCCAGGGTGCCCAGGGCCGCACCCACCTGATGTCCCCCGTCATGGCCGCCGCCGCCGCCATCGTCGGCAAGCTCGCTGACGTCCGCAAGCTCACCGAGTACAAGTCCAGCCCCCACGTTGAGGCCGCCGTCACCCCTGAGACCGCCACCGCTACCGCCAAGGCTCACGCCGACGAGAGCATCGAGGAGGACGACACCCAGAAGGACAAGCTCACCGACCAGCCCCAGGACTCTTCTCCCCAGGTCAACACCTCCGTCTCCAAGTCCTCCGCCGGTCTCCCCAAGTTCACTTCGCTCAAGGGCATCGCCGCGCCCATGGAGAAGGCGAACATCGACACGGACGCCATCATCCCCAAGAACTTCCTCAAGACCATCAAGCGCACAGGCCTAGGCTCCGCCCTCTTCTACGAGATGCGCTACAACCCCGACGGCACCGAGAACACCCAATTCGTCCTCAACCGCGAGCCCTACCGCTCCGCCAAGATCATCGTCTGCACCGGCGCCAACTTCGGCTGCGGCTCCTCGCGCGAGCATGCCCCCTGGGCTTTGAACGATTTCGGCGTCAAGTCCGTCATTGCGCCCAGTTTCGCAGACATCTTCTTCAACAACTCTTTCAAGAACGGCATGCTGCCCATCCCGATGAAGGACCAAGCCGCTCTCGAGCGCGTGCACGCCGAGGCTGTTGCGGGACGCGAGATCGAGATCGACCTGCCCAACCAGCTGATCAAGGACGCTGAGGGTAACACCATCTGCGAGTTCGAGGTTGAGGAGTTCAGGAAGCACTGCCTTGTGAACGGACTGGACGATATCGGTCTGACGATGCAGATGGAGGACAAGATTACCGAGTACGAGGCTCGCATGAGCCAGCAGACGCCGTGGTTGGATGGTCGCGCGTACCTCAAGAGGAAGGGACAGGGCGGTAAGTTGGTGGCCAAGGCGGTGCCGGTGCCGAAGACGAATCGGGGGGAGGAGAAGAAGGAGCCGCTTGAGTGGTAAACCTTCACCGTCGAAGGCCTGATGGGGTTAAGAAAAAAAGTTAAAGGGGTTGAAAATGAAAATGAAAAAGGCGCCGCCATAGCAGGAAAGCGGGCGACGCAAAGCGGGTGTTTTAGTTCCTCTTTTTTCATGTCTTGCTTTCATCCAAAACGCTTGATATCACGGTTGCGGGTTTTTGAGTTTATCACGGTCTTGAGTTTAGGCTTGCTTACTTATGGTCTTGGCGGAGTGGACTATCATCAATGACTCCACAACTTTTTTATCAGCTCGAACGGTTTTACATAGTCATGGCGCATATACATAACTGGATGGTCTCTTCTTGTTAACGATGATGATGAATGATGCAAAATTCGTGGTGATGAGTGATCGTGAAAAGATGACTGTGATGACTTGTAAGGAGCGAACATGGACTGGACTTGGGAGAGTTCGGTGACATACATATGTGAGTTGGGAGCTAGCTCGTTTGAAGATAGAAACGCATGTCTAAGCAGATCATAACATTGTGCGATGAGGTAGGTCCGTTTGTGTTTGTACCATCTCCAGAAGAACGCCATTTTATATGCCTTATGAATGTAAGTAAGCATACCATCTTCGACTCCCCGTCATACACGAGCTCGCTTCTTTCTTTGGTAGATGTGAAATCAGAAAAACCCCCCCCAGAACACCGCTTGCAAAGAACTCCAAATGTTGATACATCGTTACATGTCCCTTCCCCGTTCCCCCACTCCCTCTCTCTTCTCAACTTCAATTCTAAACCCTCCTCGTAGGAAACCTCTCATGCGCCCACCTATTCGCCCGCGCATTATTCAACGTCGCCAGCGAATGTTGCTGCATATACGCACTACTATCACCGTCCCCACCATCCCCGCTTGCCACCGACCTCGCCGATGACTTCCTCGGCGACCCCTCACCCGCAGGATAAATCTCGCTCTTCAACGGGCTCGGCTTCACAGGGCTATGTTGCCTAATCAGCCTATCCGCCAAGTCCCTCTGCTCCAGGGCTGCCATCTCGCGGCCGTTGCGGGGCGAAGAAGGCGCGTCGGTGCCTATGCTGGCTGTTCGTTTAAGTGGGGAGTTCATGTGCTGGTAGACGCCGAGGCTGCCGCCTCCTCCTTTAAGTGGGTATGGTGTGGTGCCGGCGTGGGCAACTTGTCTCTTGCTAGGTGTTGGGCGGGCGGTCATCGAGGTTGAGGGGGTGCCGTAGCTGGCACCTTGGCGGAGGGTCGGGGTGCGAGTGCTTGTTGAAGAGGTTACTGATCCGAAGCTAGGTCTACCGGTGATGGGTGTATAGGGTCGTGCGGCGGGCGTCGAAGCGTCGGTTTGCTCTAGCTCTCTCCGCTGCTTGAGGACGCCGTCGGGGTCGAAGTGCTTGGTGTAGTTCGGGTTCGGGTGCGTTTCGAAGCCGCGGCGGATGATGGTCGAAGGGGTGCCGATAGCTACCGATTCTTCTTCCAAAACGTCGTCGACGATCGAGACCTGGGTCGCTACCTCGCGGTAGATCGGGTAGACCCGCGGGTGGACGTACTTGATGTCGTATTCGTGCATGACTTCGCGGTGGATGATGTTCATGTCCTTGGATTGCTGGGTGAAACGGGAGGTCAGGAGGAGCATCTGGGCCGAGAGGAGGAGCTGCAGGACAAGAGCCTTGAAGACGGTCACGCTCGGGCGCGGGTCAAGGGCGGCCAAGGGAAGGAAGAGCATGTAGATGAGGGCGTGACCGGGGCTGAAGAGGCAGAAGATGCGCAGTGTTGCCGGGTACGGGTCCCAAACGGCCACCTCCCATACGTCGCGTGTCTTGTCGGGGTGAGCGCGCGCTTCAGCCGATTCGCCTTTCGCAAAGTTTTGGATGTATCGAAGGGGCGTGGGGGTGGACGGCGATGAATCGACTCGGACGCGGTGCGCGGAAGGGGTTGACGGGCCTTGAGCCTCGACGTTCGCTTCGAATAGTCGGTAGTGGCGCGACCGGGTCATGGTGTAGAAGGCATTGAGGCCAGAGATGGGGATCAGCGTCCAGATGAGGAAGTTAACCTGTCGCATGCAATCAGAAGCTTGTTCACATGCCGTATGGGTGTCTGCCAAAAGTAGTGAAGCCTAACTCACCAATGCCTTCGTAAAGCCGCTGGATGGGGCATCCGAAAAGACATCATCGTCGACAAATCCTCCACCAATGTTGCCGTTCGCCCTCGCAAGTAGGAAGAGGAAATTCGCAATCAGACCGAACCAAGTGCCGAAGGTCGTCGAGTCCCAGTCGAAGCTTTGGATTTCCTCAGAGATCCAGATGTAAAAGTCCATAGGGTTAAGAAAAGCTTGTATCCTCTCGGATAACGGCCGCCGGCGCACCAGGCGACGAGGTGCTGGAGGCATGTTGGATGGTGATGATGACGATAATGTTTGGTGATGAGTTTGCGATAGCGCAGAATCGATGTTTGGGGCCGCTTCCCACTCGGTGGTGTTTTGGTAGAAGATTCGAGAGGATTGTGCGCAATGATGTGACCGGTTTTGCGCAGTCCTTGGTTGTGTGTTGTGTGGTAAATGGGCCCCAGGTTGTGCCCGGATCGGGTTGAAGGTTGGTGAAAGAATGATGATTTCTTTTATTGTTTACTTTGCATTTTGGTTGCTCGGGACGCGGATCGGGAAGTGGAAGCTCTCCCTCCCAAAATGACCCCGGTCGCAACCGAGAATTTAGGGAGCCCCATCCATCTCAGTGGAGTTTTTCAGAACCTGGCATGCTGGAAAGAGGGGTGGGTTTGGCTGTGATAGTGGAGCCGTCTTAGCGTTGTTGACTGCGAGTGGGGCCCGGTTGGATCCAGTGCGGTTGGTCAGAGCTCCAGTCCGTCCCGTCATCCTGGAGTACCTGGATGGGACGAGGACAGCCGACGTCGACATCAATCTGTCTGGCGATACGACCGCAACCGTAACCGCAGGCTGGCCTCGACATTCACTACCGACGAATTGATCGTCCATACCAGAATTTGAGTACAATTATCGCCAGCCACCCAAGTTCCTATTGTCGCATAGCCCTCGTTCCCCCGACCAATACCCGACGAAGCCCATCATGGCGACTTCGCAAGCAGACGCTAAGGACCGTCAGTTCCTGGCCGTGATAGGAGATGAGGTCAGTTTGCCTTTGCGACTGTGTTCACGTGTGTTTTTGGGTCTAATAATCATTTAGGACTCCGTCACCGGACTCCTCCTCGCAGGCATTGGCGTAGGTTCCGCATGGTCCTCGGATGATATGCGGTAGCTGAGTTCTAATGCGCACTCGAAACATAGCACGTTACGGCTCCCCCAGACTCGCAAAAGAACTTTCTTGTGGTGGACAACAAGACGGATAATGCCACTATCGAGGCGACCTTTGAGCGCTTCACGACCGAGAGGAAGGACATTGGTATTGTTTTGATTAACCAACATGTAAGTGCTGGTGGTCTTGGTTGGCTTGTGTGGATAGATGTGTTCTTGTTGGCATTTCTCGTTGAAATGGGTGACTGACGTGGGACACACAGATCGCTGATAGGATACGGCACCGAATCGACACCTACACCGCGGCCTTCCCTACCGTTCTCGAGATCCCGAGCAAAGACCACCCTTACGACCCCGAGAAGGACAGTGTTCTCCGCAGAGTCCGTCGTCTGTTTGGCGAATAAACGTGTTTACCCAGTTTAGCATGGACATAATGAACGGGGAATGGTACGGCATGATGGAAGGAATGGAAGCAGTCAGGTTCATGGGGGGCATAGCGAGATCAATATGCCCATGACATCACAGCAGCGGCGCGCAATGCGGACTCTTTTTGTTGCAAAGGAACTCAGAATACCTATAAAGAAGCAGAACGACGGGAATGTTGCCTCAAAAATGTTTACGCCTAAGGATGCTTCAAAGCAGAAACAGTCTCAGAAAACTACTATACGCAAGAAACTCCAGTACTACCAAAGCAAAACCCATACAAATGCTGCTGCCGTGCAAATGCCATCGTCCGATTCGGTGCCAAAAATAAATCATTAATCCATCATGTGCAGTCTTTCTTCATCCAATGTTTAAACCATGCCATATCCGCTATTAATCGTCAAATCCGCTCCCTCTTTAACCAGATCAGAGATCGTCAAAGAAGCCAAGGCCCTTGCGAGGAAAGATGACGGTAGCGGTCAAGCAGGTGATGTGCTTATCGTCGCTGTTGTAGACATCGGCCTCAACAGTGTACTTGCCCTGCAAACGAGCAAAAACCATCCATGTTAGCGGATATTCCCATCAAAATGTAGTATCGACGGAGGGGGTTGGGCAAACGTACAGGTGGGATCTCCTTGGGCAGGTCAACGTTCTTGGTAATCGAGATTCTGCCCTTCTCAATGGGGCAATCGAGCTCCACGTTCTTCATCTCCTTGCAGAGGTCGGCAGAGGTGTTGATCAGGCGGATGTAGCCGTACTTGACTTGCAAGTTGACGTATGCGCCCTCCTCGATGGCCTCCTTGACGATACCGCTCGCCTCGATTGTCAAGGTCTGACCGCTGTGAGTGGCAGCATGGTTAGCTTGTTGCCTGTAAGAAAGGGGAACGAAGGTTAACAATGGGACATACGCCTCAGGAGGGTTTGGTGTCAAGACGACCTCCTCGATGATGATGATGTCGTCTTTGCGATCGGCCGCAGCGTCGCAGAACCTCAAGGGCGACTTTCCGGGAACATCGAGTTCACCGTTGGTGGAAACGCTGTTCTCGCGGAAAACGCTAAGAGCGGTGGCGCTCGTGGAAAGGAGAGCGATGACAGCTGCGGAAAGCCTCATGGTGATTGATGATGGCGATTCACGGTCGGTGTTCGGTGCGGAGGTGTGTTATGGAGACCCGGAGAGGATGGATGTGACTGGGAAAGCGGGGAATGTACCACCGTCGAGACAGTTGTGTTGAGTTGAAGGATGTCGGCAACAAAGATCTCACGAGTCAAATCGGAATGGCAGTTGTTTACAAAGTTGGATGTAATGATACCTTTGATACCAGGAACGAAAAAGCCACAGCGAACAAGCGGAGGCAGTCAACTGATGGCGAGCGAGATAACTGGCGTTGTGACTGGTGAGGTTGATCCCGGCTACAAGTACATACGGACGCGGCACCACCACCTGCATCAGGAAAGATGGACGGCCTGTGGAGGTCACTGGTTGGCCCAGCCGATGAGCACACTCTCTGCTCTGCGCAGGCCTCTTACAAGTTACAACGGTCGGAGCAAGCGAGAGACGTCATTGGGGCATGACGGCGAATGGCGGGTTCGATTTGCCCCAGCCTGCGGCCAGCCTTCCCCAACTTTCTTTCCTTGTCTTGTTTGGTCTTATCATGTGAGTCGCAGTGGATCCACTTTATGTGCAATTGGACCAATCACCATCGAGTCGCTGCGCCCGCTTCCTGAAGCATCGAGTTCTTGGTTCTCCTGTCGAAGGACCTTCAACTTTCTTTGCTGGGAGCCTGAGAATGACGAGATGTACTACACTCACCGCGGTGAACGACAAACAACGCCCGACTAACGACATCCGTTTGTGTCTTCACGACAAGAAATATTGGCGAGCTTGTAGGAGCCCCTTTAGGGTTATAGTCGGAACTATGGTCGACCATTGTGCTGTTTCGAACATAGCGTTTTCACCAAACATCGATATCAGAGAACGAACCGACTGACTGACCGAAATCGCATACGTGGTACTTCGGGTTCAAACATGGGTTTCCTAGAGTAGGTTTCGGGAGCGTTGGATAGCTTGTTTGTCCCTGCGTGACAACTTTGGCTATGGGGGCAGCTGTGTTGCGATAGTCCTGCCGACGCAGCGATGATCGATACGCCTTTGGAACAAGTTCGATGTCGCCCATGAGATACAGTTTACAGCACAGGTTGGAGTCTTATATCGCGATAACAATGGCCATGCTATCGCGCAAACTGGAAAGCAGACACGCAGCGTATCTCTCTGGCCTCGGGCAAATGTCAGACGCACTGATTCAGGCTGGGCCAGGGATCGTTGATATGTTCCCGGGCGTATCACTGAAACGGGACGGAATGATCGGGACGAGGAGTTTCGCTCAGTCGTTCGGCAGCTTGCAGTCGTCTTTCATCGGTTTCGGGGTTGTTGAGTGAGGTGATTCTGCGATAAGTCAAAGAAGATGGTGGACAGCAATCAAAGCCAGATGACTTTCTACACAGAAGGTGTAAGAGGGAAGAGAAAAGAAAAGAAGAAAAGGCCCAAGGCCAAGCGATTCGTGACGGATGGGTGTGATCAAATGGAGAACGGTAAATAAGATTGCAAGAGTTTCATGCGAAGGCTGCGCCTGGTTGAAGGGTCCCACCGTCCAATGCGATGAGAGAGACATGACAACATCGATGATTGCAGCGCGGGCGAGTAGCAACTGCAGCAACGCCGAAGCATTGCAGTCACACACTTGTCAGGTTAGAAAACCACTTTGTACGAATAAGTACTAGTGTCAACACGGCTCACGGCTTCGATGATTCGCGCAACTCGACACTCACCACCAGCCAGCCAAACAGCCATTTCCCAACACTCAACAGTGCCACCGAGGTGACCTTGTCAGATTGCCAAGGTCGAGGTTGAGCAAGGCGCAGATGGGCGCGCGTAATCCGGAGCTGGCTTCCAGCAAAGAGTGATCGTCGAACGAACATGTAAAGCGTCATGATAATCGTAGAAATCGAAAAAGATTCAAAGGTCGTGGTTATCGAGATCTTTCAGGTTCAGGCATCATGAAATGGAAGATCGCCATGACATTGGCTATTGGACTTTGCTGACTCCTCGGTTGCGGTTGGATGACACCCACCTCGAATCTCCGACGTTCACCACTCATCTTCGTCCTAGGCGAACAATAACTGGGGCGCAGATGCACGCCCCTAAAAACAGGAGTCCACAGTCTTGGGGCTGCTCTCGAAGAAAACGATGAACGCAATCTTTCCAGCTCTTCCAAAAGGCTTCGATCTTTGGGTCTCTCGAGTCTCCCGGTTGTTTGTGGCCCTCTTGCGAAACATCCCCTGCCCCCGCCGCGCGCATGTTCAGATCCAATCCGTCGCTCTTGAACGGATTGTCACCGGCGTCAAGAATGCAAAATATAGAGTAAAAAGTCCACCTGCGGTTTGTATTCCCCACAATACTCGATATAAGACCCCCGAGATACCATGCAAGGCATGTACAGAAGAGTGCTGACATCCAAACCCGCCTTCTTGTTATTGTTGCTTCTGTCAACACTGCCGTGGGCTTTTCCCGTTTCCGGGACACAACCCCGTTTCTGTTGCCTGCTGCGGTTATCTGGCGTTGTGTCAACTTTCATTTGGTTGACTTGCCCATGGCGGATCGATTCCCGCGACTCAGCTCCTGAGCGGTCTTTGGCGCCTCCTAACCCTGGGCCCAAGGGTTGTCCACGCTCTGAGGTTCTGCATCACGTCTGGGCCTCCATTCCGCCTTCGGCCCTCGCGGCGCGCCTTTTGAACGGCTTTCCACCTTGCACAGTCGCACCCCGCCCTCTTTCGCTCCCTTCCCGTAACGCCCTTTCCTTTCAGGTCCCCCTTCGCTTTCCCCTCCTCCTCGTCCCCCTCCACTCTGGCTGGCTGCTCGATCGACAATTCGGCATGCAAACATATCAAAGCTGCATGCTTTTACTTCATCAGTCACAGCACTGACGTTTCTTTCCATTTCCATTTCCAATCCTCCGCTGCCGTGAGCTTAGTGGCTCGGGCCGGACTCTTCGGTTGCGTTCTTTTTCTCCGTTCCTGATATCATATGTTTCGCAAACAGCCAAGCGTCGCCTACAAACAGCCGCTTCCTTGGTTGAAGGCCCCATAGTGGCTGCTGCGAGCCACCAAGGCAGTCTAGAAACACATCGGGGCCGAGGTAGGAAGTGGTTGCGCTAACAATTTCCAAGACCCGCTGGGCAGGGCGAAAAAGACACGCAGCAGCAGTGCAAAACAGCTGAGCGAAACACAAGCTGGATCGCAGAACCAGGAATCCAAGGAAACAAGACCGCCGGCAGCACGTCCACAGTCCACTTGCACCGACCAGCAGCTCCATGTCGCCCGCACCGAGGACACTCACACAACAAGGCCCAAGAACACAAATGGACAATTTCCTTCGATTTGGGGGATGGCCTGTGCCACGAGGGGAATCCCACGGCTGCCGTGGGCTGTGTCGTCTGATTGGCCCGTGCTCCTGCTGAGCACTGCAGCGTCCCTCCAGTCTTGCCCGTCTTGGGGGGGTGGTTACTCTTGACTGCCTCTACACTTGCACAAGAAAGAGCGTGAGAGGGCCACGCATTGGCAGTGGCAGAGGTTGGAGTTCCCCCAGTCCCGGTCGCCGTCCCAGGCAATTCCCATTCCCACTGCCACTAAAGCGAAGGTGCGCAAGCACTCCAGCTGCAATGCTGCGACCGACTGCGACAGGCGGGACTGCGAGTGCAGCCCGCGTTCTTCCCGTCCCCTCTGAGACCCCCAGAGCCAGACACGGGCGGCCCTCTCTGGGTGCGGGCAGTGGACAGAGCGATTGCAACCAGCACGCCAGCGCCAGCGCCAGCCCAGAGTCAGACCTGAGAGTGCAGGACTGAGAGGGCAGAGGTCCCAGAGTGCGGGTGGGCCCCCCTCTCCCTCGCTCGCGCACCCGCACTTTCACTTCTCTTCTCATTCTCACTCGAATCCCGTTCCTCCCCTTCAAACTCTTCCTCTCTTTCTTTGATCCGCTTTTTCTTGCCCCCCCTTCGCCTCGGACACCTTACCTATTCATCTCTCGCAACAGTCTTGATCAGGTTTCTACTGTATCACTCTCGGCCGACTTTCCATTTTCGCGCACACGACTCTGCCCGGCCGACCTTGCCTTTCTTTGTTCCTCGAGGCGCAATCTATTCTCTTCTCGACAAATCCACCTCCTCGTCGTCGTCGTCGTCATCCACCACTGCGTTCCTCCTCGCTTTTGGTTTTGACGCTCGCCATTCCTCCTGACCAGAAGAACACGATTCACGAGAGCGACCTCAACCTGACGCCCGACCCATTCCTCCTTTGGAGACTTGGTTTCTCAATCTAGGCCTCGACAGTGATTGACGCCGCCCGGGCTCTCACTTCAGATTCTCGATTCGACCTTCTCGCCAGTTCCGACGTGTCCTTCCGCCCGACCGAGCGTTCCGCTGCCGACTCCTAAACCTGGCTAGTCCAAACGACAAACGGGCAATTCCATCGAGGGCTGTCTCCAACGGATGAAAGCCCCGGCTTTCTCGCCATTTCGTGCTCGTCTCTCTGGTCGGAATCAATTGCGTTGGACAGCGCGCCAGCATGCCCTTCGACCCAGAAAGATAATCAGTCAACAATACCCTCCCGATACCCTACCGAAACCGCTGTCCCGAGGTCTTTCATAGATTATGACCGACAAGCTGCCGTCACTGCTGACGCCAATCGCGCCTCCTAGTCGGACTCCATTCTCCGTCTCTTCTGCCGTCCCTGTCCAAGATGGTACACGAGCGCAGGAGAATGCTGAGGAAGAGCCGTACACCATCAGGTGTATCTGCAAATACCCCGACGATGACGGAAACACGATCTACTGCGACCGATGCGATACGTGGCAGCACATAGAATGCTACTATCCAAACAACTCTGAGGATGCTCTCCGCAATCCAGACTTTGCACACTTCTGTGTCGATTGCAAGCCAAGGCCCTTGGATCGAGAACGAGCCAAAGAGAACCAGAGGCGCAAGCTTACTACAGGTGTCACTGAAGGAATGACAGACAAGAAGAGCAAGCGTCCTCTCTCAAAGAGCCACAAGAAGAAACCGAAACCGAGCGACCTGCCCTTGACTGGTCAGCACTCTAAAGCCGAAAAGCATGCCAGCACCCAGGACAATCATCCGCCTCCACCAAAGAAATCGAAAAGCTCGCACAAGTCCAGTCAATCGATTAGCTCACAAGCTGCGAAAGGCAGTCCACAATTCGGCAGCACCAAGTCCAACCATGCTCACCCTCCTAGTCCTGCGGCGACGCCACCTGACTTGCCTGCCGACTTTGAGATACATACCTATGCCCCTGCGTTGCTATCCGGCTCCAGCGACCGAGGCGTCGAGATTGTGCACACCAATAGTTTCGCCAGCCTCCAGGTGTCGAACGCCATCTCGGATTGGCTACGAGACCACAACAAACTCCAGAAAGAGACGGGCTGGGCCTACGCTGATATTTTCCAACCTCTACCCCCAAACATTGATCAGCTGAAAAGGCCAGTGGATATTGAGCTTTCACGCAAGACCCTCGGTCAAGGCACCGTCGCTTCATGGAAATGCCTCAAAGCGCCATCGGGTATTGCTCATAACGTCCCTCTTGTGGAACTGAATGGGCAGATCGGTATTCAGAGCAGTTATTGCGCAGATCCCGATAGCCGCTGGCAAGAGCTGACCTCCCCGCTTCCTTATGTCTTCTTCCATCCCATGCTGCCCATTTACATCGACACCAGGAAAGAAGGATCCCAAGCTCGCTATATCCGACGAAGCTGCAGGCCTAATGCCATGCTCGAAACGTATCTTTCGGACGGCTATGAGCTTCACTTCTGGCTTGTAACAGACAGGCAGGTCTCAGCTAAGGAAGAGATCACACTGCCCTGGGACTTCCGGTTCCCCAATGAGAACAAGTCACGGATGCTCCGGGTTTTGGGGCTCAGCGACGAAGACACTTCTGCCCACGCCGAGTCTTCTGTTGACGATGGGGAATATCAGGCACTTACAAGCTGGCTGCATAACATCCTCTCCGAATATGGAGGCTGTGCGTGCAACCTTGGATCGGAATGTGCATTTGCTCGGTTCCATCGGAATCATCTGGGCAAATCACAGGCGCCAGCAAACCCACCAAAGACCAAGAAGCGAAAAAGCAAAACGCAAAGTTTGTCCGCCACCGGCACAGGACCAGCAACCGACAGTCGAGCAGCTAGTGAAGGCCACCTTGAGGATGCTCCCGAGAATGATCGCCGATCATCAGTGTCTGGCTCAGCACGGAGCAAGCCTCCAAGCCGAGACCTCACCCCCACGGCCCGCCAGGGATCATTCGACACTCTTGGGATATTGACAGAGCCGACCGATCGGGACAAGCGTAAAGTTTCCATGATCGAAGAGACCTTCCGCCGGATAGAATTGCAACAACCCACAAAAAAGCGGAAAGCACGCGGCTCTATTGCGGCTACTGATTCGGCTACTACCTCCAAGAAAGGTAGCAAAAGCAGCGCTGCAACCCAGACGACAAATGCGACGAATGGAGCCGACGAGCGCCACTGCCACTTTGCTGATGGTGAAACAGCAACTACCAGCAAAGCAACATCGCCAGCAGCAAGTGCGAAATCTGGTCGAGTCACTAAATCGAAGAAAACCAGTTCTAGGAAAGGATCTGTTGCCGTCGTTTCTCATCCTGTTCCTGCGCAGCCAGTCCGTTTGCCGTCTCGCCCAAAATATGCCGACGCTGCTACTCAAACAAACCCCGACACCGAGGCCAACCCCGCACCCTCGCCGGCGCGGCCGAAGAGGAAGTTAGTTTCGGTGACGATGCGCATCGTGCAGCATCATCGTTGGCTGCAAGAGCAGCGTCGCCAGCAACGATTGCTTAATCAGGCGGCTGCTCCTGTCCCAATGGAGGTGGACAGTCCAAAGGAAAACAAGACTGCAGCCCCAGTTCTTGGTTCGGTTCAGGATAAAGCTTCGGAACCCAGTGCACCAGCCAAGGCGGCCACAAGTGATGTCGAAATGCCCGACGCGCCCACCGTATCAGCGAGTCATCCGAAGGCCGCTCAGAGTTCTTCTGTCGTCACTGCTCCAAAGAGCAAACCCGTGGATCTGAAGGTTCCAATGCCACCTGTTCCGCCCTTTCCAAGCTCAACCTCTTTGGCCTCGACCTCCGCCACTCCTTTATCTGCAGGGACCTCGGTGGCTCAGTCACCATTTTCCGTTACTGGCCTGCCAAGTCCCTTCGGGCCGCCGTCTGTCAACGGTCTGACTGCGAACCCAAGCCCAATAAAGAAGAAGTTGAGCTTGAGTGACTATACCAAAAGCAGGATGAACAAGGCTGCGGCAGCTCGCCCATCGGTTAGCGCGCCCTCTCTGAAGCCCATTCCTGCTTTGGACGAGCCAAAGTCGACCACTAATGACGACAACGGTGGAGCTGCCTCAGGCTCCCCAACCACGGAGAAGGTGGCTGATACGACTGGCTCGACCACCACCGCTTTGACCTTGGCAACTGCAAGCAGCTCTGTGTAAAAAGTATATAGACTAGGGTCTTCCCGTGTATGGATTAATGGCGGAGGTATGTTTCGAATTATTTTCTGTTAGCGGCTTCTTATCGGTGTCCTCTCTGGGTTGAGAGATGAGTTTGAGAACTCCGGCATTTGAGAGAAGCAGCCAGGTCGCTGTTAGGTCTGGTCGATTGCGATATAAAGTTTTATCCTACCTTACGTTTCTTCACAAAATGGGTCTGGCGGCTGGTGATATAATCAACGTGGCGTTTGGGGGTATTTTCTTTCCTGGTCCGGAAACTGGGTTTCGCGGGACGGCTTCAAACAAGCCTGGGATCCCCGTACTGGTTGGGAGGTTTGTGACACTGGGTCAGGTTGGGTTCACAGCGGTTGGTCTTCCATGATATGGGTTAGCTGGCTGGTTTTCGGGGGGGTTTTTATTTGATTTTATTTTGCCTGCTATGCGTGCGAGGAAAGACAAATGAAAGAGGAAGAGAAAGATGAAATGATCAAAAAGGGGAATGCACAACACCACAACATCACTGGAATTCTTGGTCAAAATCATTGGATGGGTATATCAAAGGACTCGGTTCCCCCCCTTTTTTCCTGCCCAATCTTGAACTTTGTTCTCATTTTTCTTTCCCTCTCTTTCAATCCCCCTCTTCTTTTTATGATGACCAATGGATGGATGGATGGATGGATGGATCAACGGCTTTTTTATCTACGCTACTACGCTACTCATGCAATTAGTGATAACGCTTCGCCAAGGCAGCTGAGGCACTCATTTGAATCTTCGAAGAAATGTTCAAAGAAGTTTACGATACCTTTGCTGTACTATTTTGCTTCTGTAGTTGAGAGGGTTGCACGTGTCTTGATCTAACATTGTTGTTGTTAGGGCTGATACTTCACTCTCACGTCTTGTTGCTCTTTCGCTATGTAGGTAGATAACGGAGCTGGAGTTTTATAGGAACAGAAAAGGGAGGTTTGGTTGATGTACATGCTTTCAGTTGCTAGGACAGACAGCAATGATCACAGCTTGTAGCTTCATCTCCCACGTAGTCTACCTAGTTCATAATGTAGATCTCTGGCACCAATCAACTCACAAGTGCTCAAATCACTCAGACACTCACTCACCGCTGACGCTGCAGACAAGAGAAGCGATGACACGAACCACTACTGTGCACGGATGAATACCTTACCTCATCTACCTACCAGGAAAGACATATGCTCGTTTCAGTCTGAGACTCGACTCTGATGCCAAATCAACAACACAACCGTAACATCTTTCAGAACCATTCACTCACTGCAGACACAGCACCCCCCCTCCAAGATACTTACTTAAAAATTTTCTGGTGACTTGAAAATGCTGCTTGCTGGATGTCTCGAGATAGATAGCAGTGTGTTGCCAGCCAGCCAGCCAGCCAGCCTTATTCAATGGAAGCGAGGCAAGGCGAGGCGAGGCGAGGCGAGGTACACTTACTTCGTTCTGTTCTGTTCTGTTCTGTTCGTATAGTAAGTAGTAGTGAATATTGAATCCATCCTGAATTTACAGTTTCGTTCAGCAAGACACCTTTTCTCTCTTTCTCCTTGACATGAAAGTGCATGTACGAAGAAGACCGTGGAATACGATTGACTTCTAATGACACTGAGTGAGGGAAGGAAGACAGACACATACATAGTCAGGATAGTCTGTCTAGCAAAGGATGGATGGATGTGTGTGAATGGATGGTTAGCTTCGAGAAACAGGGGGTGGGGTGTTTTTCCTTCCTGTATTACATATTGCCTACTTTACAGGGCCCTAACTGATCCGAAGTATATGTGTGAACCGTGAACCGTAAAGCGTGAACCGTTACGATCTGCCGAGGAAGTCGGGTTCCCTTCCCGTCCGTCCTCGTCCCGTTCCCACCCCCCGTCCGTCTTCTTCCCGTTGAGGGGGAGGAAAGGGGATAAAGGTCCTCCCTCCCACCATGGTTGAACTCGGCAAATAGTAAGACTCAAGAGTGAATTTGACCTCGACACTTAGTATAGTCCGAATATCTACACATGTACAGAAGAGACAAAAAAAGCAAAAAAAAAATCGTCCCAACTGTGCGCCAAGGAGAAAATGAAAGTGACAACGGCGAAGAATGATGTCGGTACTGTGACGTCCGAACGACTTGCCGACAACAGACCGTTTCGACAAGAGACCGATAAACGACCCGGCCCAAAACAAGAAACATACGAACTATGCAGCTACATACCGACATTGCCAGGCTTTTCTCTCTCTAGCTTGCTAGGTACAGATGCACACGCAGGTACTGACTAACTGACTTCCACTTGCACAAAGCTCACTCCCGCACACACAAGCACACAGCTCACGCACTCATCACCTCAGCTATACATACAGTTCCAGACTCGTATGATGTTGTTATATATCACTCAGAATGTTCTTCCACTGTTCCACACTTGTTGTCCCTCAATTCCTCCCTTTGTATGTTCCGGTTGCCCCTCATAAACACAATGTACCTCATGGTTCCTAATCCCATCGGATAAATACGCCTAGAGCTTGTCTTAACCATCTGCTTCCAACTCTCGAGAGGAGATTCTCAATCAACTAACCGCACTCGACAAACCACACACAACAAACAGCTCGACCTCAACACATCAACACATCCAACCAAACGTATTCCGGGGGTATATCAGGGGTATCTCTCTTCTGAACACAACATCTCACGACACCTCTCCTTGTCTCCCTCACTGATTCCCCGGACCCGGTTGATGAGGGTACTGCATCTGCGCCGAGTAGTTCGGATTGAACCCTCCGAAAGAGCTCAACTGCACCAGATAGTTCCAATCCATCTGCGAAATATCGAGATCCATCGAGCCCGCTGGCGTTGGCGCTGACGGTCCAGCTCCGAACATCTGGCCCATTCCGGTATCGAAGCCTCCGTTTGGCGATCCAAACATCATCGAATCGTTCATCATCATGTTGGCTGAGCCCATTTGCGGTGACGTATCCGTCTGTGACGTTTGCTGCATCTGTTTGGGTGTAGTGTACATGCCCGTCTGCATGCTAACGCCAGGAAGCCCATGAGGGCCTGTCATGCCCGCCATATCAGGAGGCATGGATGCCACGGGCATCATTCCTGGCGGCGTAGCCGAGTTGGGAACGGATTGTCGTGGATCCGATGACATTGACATGCCGCCACCAACAACGCCAACTGGACCACTACCAACTTGCGGAGGACTATTTGGTCGTTTGAACTTGGCTGCCGTATTGCGCATCAGAGTTACTATTTTGGGCGTCTGTAGATGCCGTCCTAGCTGGTTCTGCGCCGCCTCGTGGGCATCCCAGGCCTTAACAAAGAAGCCGCCGAGAGCGATATGCATCGGTGTGCGCAAATTGCTAGTCAAGCCACGCCGTTCCAAGTTCTCGATCATAAGAGTCCAGGCACGCTCGCAGGGCGCACCAGTCGTGCGCGTCCTCAGATCCTGCACAAGGAAAATGTAGGCCGGCAACGGAAAGTTGAGCATGGTGTACCACTTGAATCCTTTCAAAAGCTCATTGCCCTGCAACATGTTGTCATATTCAACCATCAAAACGGCCTGCTCAAAAAGCGCGTCTCGTTCATTGTGGTCCATGATACCCTGGGTGGCTTCGCGACAGAGGAAGTCGATGACTCGGAGTTTGCAGAGCGCTTGCCTTGTCATCAACAGGGTGAAGAAGTGCAGAGGTACCTTGGGGTCGCAATACTTGAGGTAAGCATTTTCCATATACGTGCAAAAACTTTCCAAATCGCGCGGCAGGTTGGTGTTTGCAACGTGGGTAACGACATCTGGTGACGCCGGGGATGGGCTGAAATGCACTCGCGGCTGAGTGACGCGAGTCCCTCCAGGTGTAGTCACGACAGCACGGAGTCCATTAGGCTCCGCGGCAACCGTTAACTCGATCCGGGTGAGGGTGAACAGCATTTCGGTCGGGCCGGGGTACTGAGTCGGGAAGTCCTTTCCGTGGAGGTTGAGATCCGAGTCGTTGATATTCAGGGGGAATCTGCAATCACCGCCGCAGCTCGATAACGCCGTAATGGCCGAACCGGTGATCTCCGCTATTCGCTTGTCCAGAATCACAATCTGCCACCATAGACGTCTTCGTTGCTCCACCTCAAATGGAGGTAACCGAAACTGTTGTCCATCCTTGTGAATGCCTATCCGGGTCGCAATTCTGACGGCGATGCCCATCAAGCAAAACATTGAGCGTGGGTCAACGTATTGGCGGACACAGAGCTAGGAGATGCGGTGTCAGCTAATAACGTCTTACTACGTATTTTGGCGACAACTTACAAGATACAACAGAAAAGCTTGCAAGGTCATGATCTCGTTTGATCTCATAAAGCCAGCATTGACCAGAGCCTGCTGTGTGGCGCCATGATATTTCGCCAAGAGTATGGTCCTGTCTTCCCCAAACTCGGTCTGGACTTCTTCAGCTGTCATCGATGTGACAGCTGCGAAGTAGATGGCAAACATGAGAACCTCCAAAGGCTTGGGGATATTTGCGGGTTTTGCGCCAGCACTTATGATCTGCTTCTGTAGAGAAGAGGTATGGCTGAGTTTTAAGAGAGGGTTGACATTTGTGATGTAGGTTTGCCATAGCTGGAATATTTGGAACGAGGACGGGTGCGAGTTGGTCACGCTGGTTGGAGATCCGCCGACGACGAAAGGGAAGCCATCGTTGTTATCGAACATCGTGTCGTATGCATGATGGAGTGTTGGCCCCTCACAATCCTCATCGGAGGAATCCGCAAGCTCCTCGTCCATGGCTCGAAACTAGGGTAATTGGTTAACATTTTTTGAACAGAGAACTGGCCATAGCCATTCCGTTGGCTGTGGAGTATTTGGAAAAAAAGATATGGAAGGGATCTCATAGGCAAGCTGAGGCACGCAAGTCCAATACTGAGGAATGCCAACATATGGAATGGTGATGATGAGTATGGATGGATGGTGGGTCGACCAAGCTTACCTCCTTGTTATATGGAAACCACTTTTGCCTGAGTGAAGCAAGGGCAAGAAGTTAGCCTGGTGTGGGGGGGTTCAGCAGTGAAAGATTACATGGGAAGGACTAACTTGTCATATCCCTGATCGCTAGGCGAGACATGATCTGCGGCACTCGAAGGGGATGTCTTGAGCCCGCTGAGGTCCTGCTCCAGGTCGGCAACATCGTCGATGGAATCCGAGGTTTTGAGGTCGTGGGCAATGGGCTCAAAGTTGACGCCGTGCTGCGAGAGGAGGGATTCATATTTCTTGAGGCGGTCGATGAGGTCCCGCTCATGCGGCTTCTTCTTGCGGCGCCTAGGCGGCTGGGGCGGGACGACGCGACACTCGACACCGGCCTTGACGCAGTTGGCACAGGGTTTCTGCTTGTCGCAACGGACCTTGCGCTGCTGACAAAGGACGCATGAATGGCCTCGCGTCAACTTCATCACCGAGGGTTCAGGGACGGCCTGAAGGGAGTGGACGCCGACGGGATGCCTCTGCTCCGACGACGACGAGGAGGGCGGCAACGGGGGTTGCGGGTGCTGGTGGAGGTAGTCATGCCGCTGGTCCGGCGGCGTAAGCTCCGAAGCCATGTTGAATACCCAGTCGTCTACCTTGACTTATGTAAAGGGTGTAGCGGGGGTCCGCGTGAAGCTTGTTCGGATGCAGACGGGCCGCTCGGGTCCGAGACGGGGACTTGGCCAAGCCGTGGTTCAGGCCAGTTGTATAGGAGCGCTTTCTTACTGAGCCAGGACTACCAGGTCACGCCCAGCAAGCCCCAACCACAAGTGGCCGTTGTTTCCAAGGGTGAGGTAACTTTGCTGGCGTCACTTTGCCGGCGTCACCACAGACTCACAGTTCCCGTCACTTGTTTCTGCAGTTTTCTCTTGACGGCGTGGGTGGGCGTGCCAGGGGTCGGCTCCCGGGGTCACCCAGGGCTTGAAGACAGCTGCTTGTGTGCAGAGCCGCAGGGCAGCCACTACAAAAGGGAACCTGTACCGCTCTCTGCTTTCTGTTTTGAGTATACCGTTAGCATGCGCCCGGCTTGTTCTGCTTCCTTGGCCTATGGTCTCCTCTGGCCCATTCCTGACAGCGGATGCGGATTGCGGATGGTGTCCCCGTGGCTGAAACCGCACCACTCGCGGACGGGATGCCGTGAGGAACTCGAGGAACTGGAGGGGTGATGTGGTAGTTGAGTACCTTTTACCTCTCTTTAGCCGTCGATGTCCAACAACCAGAGATGAGGAGTGTCAAATGTGTGTGCCGCCAGTCAGGCGTGCAGGAGCAGAGTCGTTCACTGCATGTATCTGTCGCTGCGATGTGTGTATTAGCAGCGAAGGCCAAGACAGGTACCGGTAATATGTGACGAGGCGGATCGAGGTACCTCGAATACATTCAACCTCCAGAAGGTAATCGGTTGATGTCAATCTTGTCCCCAAAGTCCAGTGTCCAGTATCCGGCCGTCTGGATCCTTGGCCGAATCTAGAATCCGGAGGCCGGGGGCCTGACGGCTGCTGCTGCCAGCAAGACAGGCGCAGAAAAGCCACACCCGAATTAGAGATGAGTCGATTCTCCAGAGGCGTGGTAGCGAAGAAGGCTGGTCGGCTGCTGGTAGGCTGATGGTACCGTAGGCTGGTCGAGGGAGTCCCAGAGCAATGGAGAGTGGATGAGGTTTCGGGACCAAAAGAGCCCTCGAAGCACCCGAAGTGCCCGACCGCTGGGAAAAAGAAGGAGTCAATAGCACCTACCTTGCGTTGGTAGCCGCGGAATGCTGGGCTGAGGCAATGGCCAGCAGAGGGGTTCAGTTGCAAAAAGGAAGGCGGGCGATTGGATGCGCTTCCGGCAACACAAGATAAAGTGATCTGAAATGGTATGCGCTTGTTCCTGTTCCAGCCTGTTGGGTGACGGATCCCACTCAACTGTGGATTTTGTGGGTTGAACGACGAAGAGAAAAAAGGATGATGACTCGGAGAGGAGAATAAAAAGAGGCAAGCAAACTGAACCAACCCGACGAGAGGAGCAAGGCGATAAAAAGCCAGAAGCAGCAGGAAGCAGTAGCAATCAAGCCAACCCGAGAGATAGAAGGCAAGCAAGCAACAGGCATATGGACCGGTATGGCTCGTTAGTTAGGTCCTGTCCAGACACTTCAAGTCCACACATCCTGACCGCTCGTCTCGGGTTCCAGTCACTTCTCAGCCTGGTGGACGATAAATGTCCAGCTTAGCCCCAGGTCCAGTCTCGTGGCCTCTTGTCTCCTTCATCTTGCTTTCTTTGTCTTTCCCCGCCGCAGCACGGGTTTCTTACCTAGGCCGCGCACGCCTTGCTGGATCCGTTTACACCATGTCGGCCTTGATACTCGATACGTCCTGATACGAATACGTCCTGATACGACTTGTGTCCTTTGGATCGAAGCTGGACTGGACTGGAGGCAGCTGGCCAGTGTTTCTCCGAAGAGTCCTCAGCTGTCACTGCCACTCACTGCCACTGTGACGGTGACTGTGCATCGGTGCGTGCAAGATGCGTGAGAGAACGGAATGGGAAATGGTGACTGCACACAGTTGGAAGCGCTGTCGAATCAGATTGCGCGCCAGCTATGGGTTGCTGCTTTCTGATGGTCGTGACGAGCATGACGACGGAATATTACCATATTACCTGTACGGTTCAATGCTTGATCTCTGGTGTCTCAAAGCCCACGTCAGGCCCTCAGGGTAGATTTGAAACAATGTTCGCACTGGTACCTGTAATGACCGATTTCGGCACTGTGGATAGTGCGTGTAGAATGTGAAGAAAAGAAACGAGACGATGCAGGAGCGCGACGAGGTACCTTCCTGACCCCGGTTGTTGGATGAGAAGCTTCGGGACCGAGAGCTCCCTTTCGTACCCGAGAAATTCAGCCCAGGAGCGAAAAAGTGGATTCAACCTGAATGCAATGAGGTTGAGAGCGGGACTCGGGTCCAGCCGAACCTCCACTCGGCGGGGTCATAGGGCACGGATAAGGTGCTGATGCCCACTAAGAGACGCTAAATCCACCTGGAGATCGCTGGAGACGATCGTTAAACTTGACCAAAAAACAGGTCGGTTCTTGCATTGGCCGACCTCCGTCTGTGCCATTTAATTGTACAACGACACTCGGACGCTAAGCCTTGGGAAAGCCACCATAACAGCGCCGCATGCCGACCCGTCCAGCTCCACACGAAACCGCGCTCATGGAACCTGCAGGAGCGGATCTTGCGATGGGGAACTCCTTCCCATTCTTCGCTTGGCGCAAGGTACACGATGCCATTTTGGCCAGGCGAGATGGGAAGAGACACACAGGATAGGCAGGAGTGGTCCGGTTAATCAGGTGGGAACAGGCAATTGTCGCGCAGGGAGGACAGAGTGAGTAAGTGGAATGCAGAGTCTGCACCCAAAGCTCCGATGCTCCGACATCTTTCCCTCGTTGACAAATTGCAGTGATGGACATGGGAACACCAACACTCTCTTCAATGCCCAAGATAGCAGCCCTTGGGATGGTCACTCGCCTATCATTCATCCACCTCCCTTCCCCTTCTTCTTTGACTCCGTTCCCCGTCCCTCCATCCATCTCGCACCCGTCATCATCCAATATCAAAGATGCATATCCCGACAGAACGGGGCAGCATGCCTCTACATAGCTCTACATGGAGCATACATGGGGACCACTGAGGAATCTGAAAATCCCTACTGAAGGCATATGGATTGGATCTCCCACATGTCCCGATGGATGTGCGTCCCAGGTCCATGTCCATGTAACTCTAGCATTTCGGACCACAGTCATCCTGACGCGGCGCCGTAGGCCAAGGTTGAGGGACCGATGCGCATGTTAATAGCCATAGGTATGGTTTGACGGATTAACCTTTGAACTCACGGGTCCACGGTCCCATATTTGCCGTCACCCGTCATCTACGCCTGCCCGGAGCCTGGCAGCCTCCGGGGGCTGTCAAATTGTGTCCACGCTGGTTGCTTTTTATGTCCGAGACCAAGAACGTGTCTTATATAGACAAGCGCGTGCGCGACACTGCTATTTCTTTCTTTTGCTTTGTTCTCTCTCTTCTTTTTTCCTGCGCTTCTTCTAACAGCCAAGTTACCTCTACGGCAGTATCATTAGCACATACGCAAGCAAGCACTTTTTGGTCGGCATATCTTTGACGCACCTCTGATTGTGTGTCACTTGTTTACTTGCTTGCCGTCTCCAACTTTTTGTTTACATACTTCCCACATCTCCTTAAAGGCTAGGCTCACTCATCTCACTCACCGTGCGTCACCTCACCCTGCGTCACCTAAACCTCACCTCGTTCCGTCTCATCTCAACAACCACACGATTCCGGAACCTCACACTTGGATGATTGGCGTGTTGAGGCATGACTAATTAGCCGGCCCGGCCGTTTGTTGTTTCATCTGATTACCCGAACTCGTTTTGTGAGACCTCAAGATTGGCCCCCTTCGTCACCAAGGCCAGAAGAAGGAGAGAAGCAGAGGAGGAACACCAGGAAGAGGAGGAGAAGGAAGACCAACGAGGAGAGACCTGCTTGTCATAGGATCCCAGGACGAACCCCCCATCGGTCATCGGATCACAACAAGTGTCTCGGTCGCACTCTGTCCCCGCCCCCGTCCGGCAGGCTGGTCCTCCTTTTCCCACGGGGCCCCGTCGCCTTGCTTTCCATCTTTCTGCGACCTCCCACCAACTGTTCCGAACCAACCCATCCATAATGGCTACCGTCTCGCAGTCCACCACGTCTCTCAGTAGCAGTGGCAAGTCAAGCCATCACAACCGCCCGGGAGACGAATCTAGGGGCGCTGGTAGCATGGCAGAACCAAACGATGTCGAAAAGCTCTCTCCCACTCCGCCGCCTACGGGCCCACCGCAGCCAACCGAGAATGATCTGTACAAGCCAAAGAGCCTAATGTTCTGGTTGACCCTGTTGTGCAACTTTATGGCGCTGTTTCTCGTCGCTCTTGACAGGACAATTATCGCGACCGCCGTTCCGCGCATCTCGGACGAGTTCAATGCTTTGGGCGATATTGGATGGTATGGCTCCGCTTACATGTTGACCACGTCATGTGCTCAACTTGTCTATGGGCGTGTCTACAAGTTTTATGATATGAAATGGTCAGTGTCTTCGTCCGGCTCTGCTTGAACAATAAAGCGGAGATAGGTACTAACAACTCTTCATCTATAGGGTCTTTCTAGTCAGCGTTGTCGTCTTCGAAATTGGCTCTGCCATCTGCGGTGCGGCACCGAGCTCAACCGTCTTTATTGTCGGCCGTGCCATTGCTGGCATGGCTTCTGCCGGTATCTTCTCAGGCTGCATGTTGATCATGATCCCTATGATCCCCTTACACCGCAGGCCTGCCTTCCAAGGTCTCTTCGGCATGGTGTTCGGTATCGCGTCGGTTATGGGCCCCTTGATCGGCGGAGGCTTCACGAGCGGTGCCACTTGGCGTTGGTGTTTTTACATCAACTTGCCCATCGGTGCTGTTAGCTTTATCTTCATGGTCTTTTTCTGGAACCCACCGAAAGCGAAGCGCGAACCTGCTAGCCTTGGCGCACATATCAAAAGACTGGACCCCATCGGCATGATCTTCTTCCTTCCTGGAACCGTGTGTCTTTTGCTTGCTTTACAGTGGGCTGGTTCGACTTATGCGTGGAATTCGTGGCGCATCATTCTCCTCTTCGCGCTCTTTGGGGCATGTACCGCGGCTTTCATTGTTGTCCAGATTTTGAAACCCAAGACGGCTATGGTGCCGCCAAAGGTCATAACACAGAGGAGCGTGGCTTTTGGTACCTCCTTTACCTTCTTCTTGGCAGGGTCTATGCTTATGATGGTGTATTACGTACCAATATGGTGTAAGCTTTCATCCAACATCAGCCCCCTTTTATCCGAGTTGTAGCTGACCAATCATGTCATTATAAGTCCAAACCGTCAAGCAGGTCGATCCCATCAAGTCGGGTATCTACACACTCCCGCTCGTTCTCAGCCTGGTCGTTTCGAGTATCATTGCCGGTATCATTACCCAGAAGATCGGATACTATGTACCATCTATGCTCGTTGCTCCCTCACTCATGTCAGTCGGCGAGGGTCTCATGAGCACACTTAACCCAGGCAGTCCGTCTTCGCACTGGGTCGCCTTCCAATTCCTGACAGGGTTCGGTCTCGGTTTTGGAATGCAGACTTCAGGTTTGGCCATCCAGACAGTTTTGCCGAAAGAAGATGTCAGCACAGGCATTGCCATTAACTTCTTTGTTCAACAATTGGGCGGTGCTGTTTTCACATCGGTTGGCCAGACCATCCTCAGTAACCTTCTCGTCAAGAAACTGTCCGGAATCCCTGGTATCGGAGGCCATGTCATCGTCAACGAAGGCGCCACACAACTCACCAACGAAGTACCGCCGGAATACAAAGACCGCGTACTCGACGCATATAACTATGCCTGTCAGCGCATTTTCCTAGCGGCCATGGGCCTAGCATTCGCCTCACTCCTCTGCGCATGCGGAATGGAATGGAAGAGCGTCAAGAAGGGAAGACAAGGACCACCACCGTCGCAACCTCCCGCAACTGGACCTCAAGGACCCAACGAAGGTCTTCTCCGTCCGTCGTCATCTTTCCTTCCAAACGGTCCCTCAGAAGGATCAACAACAAATGGACTGATCATGGCCAAGAAGGAAGCGCCAGCGGAAGGTCTCCCGCGACAACATCTCAGAAGCCGAAACTCGAGGAGAGAGTCACTCGCATCTGAGGGTAGGGCCTCGGGAGTGTTGACAAAGCCACCGCCGGCATATATGACCCCTGGGTCTCCGGGCTCAGCTAAGGGCAGTCCTAGATCCAGTGATCAAAGGGTGGAGCAAGAGATGCGGTCGAGTTACCACTCGGCGCCGAGGAATACGGCGAGTCAGGAGATGAAGGAGCTTCCTAGTCCTGCTGCTTGATTTTTCTTGAAAATAGTTAACGTAAGTTGGAAGTCCGGGGAAATGAGGTCTTGGTGTTGGACAAGATGATGTAGTTCAGGAAAACAACTTTGTATTCAATTCGGGATCGGACGGAGTCAATGGCGTTTCTCACATACCTTATGATGGAATTCGGTAACGGTTAAGGATAGAAGGCGAGTATGACGAATTGGAGTACCTATTTGGACACCTGTATTATCAATAACGAACACCACTATGTTACTGGGTTGGTTGATGAATGGGGACGGGTTCAAACAGGGTTTGGTACGAAAGCGATGTCAGGATACTGTAGGTAGATAGGAGGAAGTAGAGAACTGGAGTGTAATGGAAAAAGGAAAAAAAAAAAGACAAAACTACCCCAAAAGTGTTGATAGGAACTCGTGTTCGTTCACTGACATCTCTCATGCCGCGCCGATGCTACATATTACTAGTGTACTGAGGCGGCTTGGTCGGTACGATTCGGTCAATTTCTCGGGCGCACTTGGAGTACAGTTCAGCCCTGGTTTGTTTGTTAGCGCGGTTCTTGCGATAGGGGTCTGCAAAAATACACAGAAAAACAATAGAACAACTATATTGAAGACGGAAAATTGGATAGAGTATATGAAGTACTCAAAATGTATCTAGTTGGTACCAGTTTCTTGCATGAAATTTGGTGGAATGGTGGTTGAGTTGCGAAGAGTGCGTAGTGAAGTCCCGCGCTAACGAGCTTTTAAGGGGTGAACTGTATATCACCTCGACAGCTCGACTTTGGCTACTTGAGGAGGAGGAGGCGAGTAAAGAAGCCGATGGGACACTTCCGTTCCGTTCCTCGGCCTTGGGGAGAATTTGGGGTAGTAACTAATCAACCGCCACATATGTACATGCTGAGGAGAGCTTCAAAATACTGGGCTCACCTGACGTCCGGTTATAGACAGGGGAGGGGTTCAAGAGGCACGAGACGGTAGGTGGTATATGGATATTCCAGCTTCCAGCTGGAAATATTAGAATATTGTGATATTAGGCGCCAACCTCCTAGTAATACCAGTAATACTAATAGTACCAGCCCAGCCCAGCCCAGCCCAACCGCCGCTACCTATCCTAAAATAGTAACTATATATCGATATAGGGGTTTACTACCCTTCAATCGAAAGGTAGAAACGAACCCTTATCGATTGGAGTAGGAATAGCTTTATTAGGAAGGTGGATGCGCTCATATGCGAATACAAGCCACGTACAAGGGGGTCGATACCTGCCAAGCTCGACGTACAGCCAGATTCACGGACAAAACTTGGATTATACCAGCATCTCACACCAGTTGGTAAATACAGGGATTATTTATATGGCGCCATCAAACTACATCACTCGAACTAAATACGCCCTTACAGTATCAACCCCTGAAAGTGCAAACAATTAGGGTCGCTAGATTTCTTTATACTTTGTGGGTGTTTGCACTTAGGGGATCTGGTGCACAGACCATAAAGCACCTTCTGGTCATTAAAAAGCGCCCAGCTGCACCAAAAAAGGGGGCCTTCAGAACCCCAGTAACCGGGTATAAGTGTTCTCTCCCACCAAAATCAGACCCCTGTAAGTGCAAATCCTAGCCAAAGTCTTTGCACTTTGCAGTTTGCAGGTTTTATATGGGAAAACAATTCCGGCCGCCCAATTCTTTTGCATTTTGGGGGGTATTTGCACTTTGGGAGGTATTTGCACTTTGGGGGGTATTTGCACTTTGGGGGGTATTTGCACTTTGGGGGGGTTGCACTTTCAGGGGTTAATACTGTACTCAGTCGTAAGAGATTTACTGAACCTAGCAGTTTTGGTGAGAAAGAAGCATATGCACGGCGGGATTAGCTGCATATGAGGAATCAGTCCAATGGGATTCCTTCATCTTCCTAGCTAGCGCCTTTGGTAAATCTCTTACGAACGAGTATTAGCGGTACTATGTAGGCCACCGTTCGGGTTTTTGAAGTTCTTAGATCCCTAGTGTGGACCCCCCCATAGATTTTGCACAGTCTATTGTTGGAGAGAGGGGGAATAGGGTAACATTGAGAAGAGATATTGGTCTTTTCCCCGCGGTAAGTCTGTGGTTCTAGACTTGCCTTATTCGTTAATGGCAGCATATGCGGCTGGAGAAGAAAATCCGGGGGTGGTACGGTCTGGGGAATGAGGAGATCAGAGCTTTGATGGAGATGTCTACTTTGGATAGTATGTCGTTGAAGACCGTGATCTGTTCGTCAATCTTAACCATCGGCAGGGGTTTCCGATCATGGCATGGAGTCAAGGCAAAAAGTATATATGTATCGCGTTCACCTTGTCCTACACGGTGACCCCTTCTGCCCTCCTGACGATCTTCACCAGTCCCTCCTCCTCAAACTCACTGGCTCCGGGTTTATCTTCGAGTTCCCAAGATGGTTCATCTCACGCAAGTTGTCTTTGTTGGACTGGCGTGGCCGACTAGCGTCACTGCTGCTGCCACGGGCGACAAGAAACCATGGCCTCAGGGTGTCTCGTTGAAGTCCTTCATTGGCACTGGTAAGAACCCTTTCTTCTGAACGTCTTCAACATAGGTAGGATCACACTGACATCCGACTCCTCCCCAAAAGAACAAAAGATCGCATTACTTAGCCCTCTGCTTTTTGGCTTTTTTGGTAGCCCGCTCTTTTTTGTACTTTCTACCCTTTGCCAGCCTTGCCTCACGATCCTCCGGACTTTCATTCTCCCTCCGCTCCCGCTGCCACTTTCTCACCTTTGCCAGCCTTGCCTCACGATCCTCCGGACTTTCATTCTCCAGCCGCTTCCCCTGCTGCGCTTTCCTCCTCTGACGTCTGATCTTTTCAACGTCACCTGGCGATAGGCCCGAATAAAACCACTCTGGCCTCCTAGTACCCTCATTCCAAGCTTCGTGGGAGCACAAGCCCCCGTAGGGGACAGAGTCGCCCCATTTACCATTGGTGAATGCCGGATGGATGGTTTTGCGATCTTGGTATGCATATAGCTTGTATGTCAAGGCCGTCTCGAGGACCAGGAACAATGACCGCGCAGATAGAACTAGCAGCGAGTCTGACGGCACTGGTGCCGATACCAGTATCTTTTTATGTGTGATTCTGTATCCTTCCTGGTAGGCGATCTCTGTGAATTGCGACAACTTTTTGCGGTTGTCGTAATCTGCGAACCTCTGATGTGTGCCCTTGGTCTTGTCCGTCCCGGTGCCGATGTAAACGAGGGGCGTATCGTCTGCTTCTTCAAGGATCAGGAGGTAAGAGGAGAAAGCAGGTTGGTCCTGACGGGAAAATTCAAGCAAATCCATGAGGGTATCAAGGCTGGGCGAATAAGGGCTTGTATGATGTCTTGAAGCCCATTGGAGAACCTTAACCCCGTGGCTTCGACCGTTTCCCATAGCGATAGCTTGGTTGGGATGTATTGTCCGATCTCATTTTTTTTGCCAGCAAATGCGACGTTGTATGCATCATATGCCTCGTTTATCAGGGTTGCCTCGAACTCCAAGGTGGCCTCGAAGATCGCTTGTTCGTCCTCCTCGTCATCTTCCCCTTCCTCCTCCTTCGAATCTCCCTCCTGGTCACCGCTGCCTTCGTCGCTTGAAGTTGGTTGGTCGTACTCGTTGTTGAACGGGGTCGTGGCTGCTATAGCAGCTGCCCTTGATCTGGTGGTCACCATGGCGATTGATGCGTAGGACACTACAACCATCGAGAGAAGAGGAACAAAATCAGAGAGAACAAGGAGGGTAAGGAAAATATCCAGTAGCGGCAGCAGCAGAGTTTTCCATCCTTCCTAAGGAAGGAACACTCGACAGCATGTCATACCCGAGGAAGGAGCACTTTGTCTTGAACGGTTTTCAATTAGCTCCTTCCTCCGCTCCTGCTAAAGGCTGGAAAGCTCCTTCAGCTCGTCGATTATGTAACGGCGAGCAGACATATTGAGGTTCGTGGATTCTTTTCTGGTTTTGAAAAGAAGGCTGGGCCGCGGTGTTGGTTAAACGACGAGTAGGCAAAGTAGCCTCACAACCAAATGTTGATGTTTGTTTGGGTGGCTCGGGATGACGGATCGATCCAAGCTCAGCGATGGGCTGCGCCGATCTGAGAATGAAGGCATGGGGTTGCTCATATCGTCAATGAGACTTTGCTAAGGGGTGAGTAATCAGGCTTTCGTTCGCTCAGCTGCTGGTGATTGTGATGGCGCCAAACCAGCCTCGGGTTCTTCAAAACCATCTACCCGCTTGCGAAAGCGGGCACCTCCTTCTTCACCACGCAATCCCAATACCGCTCTCTGGTGTCCGGCTCCGCCCTCGCCTCCTCTCTCGGCAACCTCTCCTGCGACGCCCGTGCTTCCCAAGCCCCGCAGATCCTCTGCTTCCTCAACTCGGCCGCCTTCTTCGACTCCAAAAAGGGGCAACTCCTCGGCAACATCAACATCCCCGGCTTTTCTCGTAGTGGAATAGACGCCAACACCCTCCTCGGCCCTTTGGCCTCCTTCGACGTCAACGCGGCATGCGACTCACCAACCTTGCAACCGTGTCATCCAAAGGTTTTGAGCACCTTCCAGGTGCTGGTCGACACCTTCCGCAATGCGAGCCTCTACCCCATCAACGCCGGAATCTCGAAAAACAAGGGCGTGGCGCTGGGGAGGTATCCCGAGGATGTGTATTACGCTGGAAACCCGTGGTATCTGATCACTTTGGGCGCGGCGGAGTTGCTGTACGATGCGGTGGCGCAGTGGGAGAGGCCGGGGTTTGTGGCTGTTGATAGCACCTCGCTGCCGTTTTTCAAGACTATCTACCCGCTTGCTCGCGCCGGGACGACCTATCGCGCTTGGCCGGGGGTTTTGAACGGGTTATCACCCTTTTCTACCATTCTGGCGGCCGTAACCGACTACGCTGATAGTTTCGTCTCGGTCGTGCAGCGTTATACACCCGAGTCCGGCTCGCTAGCAGAGCAATTCCTCAAAACTCCCCCCTTCTCGCCAACATCCGCCGACAATCTAACCTGGTCCTTCGCCTCTTTCCTGTCAATGACCCACCGCCGTAATCGCCAATTCCCAACATCCTGGGTCCCTTCCACCCTTTCTGTTGTTCCTTCCATCTGCGAGGCAACTTCTTACAAAGGCAGCTACGCCCCCGCCACATCCGCCGGCGCCCCCAACCTCACAGTCACTTGCCAATCCACCATCCTGTTCCAAGTCAACGCCAGCACTTATTACGGGGAAAACATTTACTTGACCGGCAACTCTTCCGACCTCGGAAACTGGGACTTGGGGCAGGCGATTCCGATGCAGAGTAGTAACTATACCAGTGAGAGACCGTTGTGGTTTGCCAAGGTGCCGTTGACGGCGGGGGAAAGTGTTGGGTATGCGTTTGTTAGGGAGCAGGATTGTGGGCAGGGGTGGATTTGGGAGACCGAGAGTGTGACTGAAAAGAATAGGACGGTGGAAGTGCCGGGGTGTGTGGAGGGTGAGGAGGAGACGGTTAGGGGAGTGACGGATGATGCTTTTAGGGGGAAGGGGGGAAGTTCGGGGGGTTGTTAGTAAGATTTGATGAGGAGGATAATGGAGGTGAGGTGGAGGGATGGAAGGGGGTAAAGTCTTGAAATGTTTTTGAGTTCATTTGACGGTCTTGAAAATATGAAGTGTTTTATACAAACTGTTGGATCCAAAAAAAATCGTTCTCGGTATCTAGAGTAGTGTGTGTAATGTGCATGCCCCATTTTTCATCGTCGGGTAAAACTTACAGCAACATCACCATCCCCCCCCCGTCTTATATCTTGGTAGTATACAATTCTCTTTCCCTTCCCCCATGCCCTCTCTCAGTCTCGTCGTCTTAATGATTTATGCCGCCGCCGCCGCCGCCGCCCATCGCAAAAAAACACCGCCCATGCAAAACAAATGTCCGCCCCGCGGTGTGGCCGCCCAATCTCCTTCTTTTGAGGTAGCCGATGTATAAAGACGTCCGTCTGATTATTGAGTGTGCGTTTCAAGGAAAACAGATAGATAACCCAACTGGCAATGATTACCACTGCAGTCCGTTATCATCCTCCTCCACCCACCAACGCCGATATGGGATGATGCAATTTTCCTTCTTTCGAGTTTTTTTCGGAACGGGAGGCACGTTTACTCCTTCTTGGTATCGTCCTTCTTTTTCTCGCCATCTTCCTTCTTAGTCTCCGTCGACGCCCCTTCCGGCCCATCCTTCTGCTGATGGGCAGGATGGTTGGTCAGGTTATGCCACAGTGACTTGAGGAAGCCTTCATTCTTGTGGTCCTCAGGATCGGTGGAAGAAGAAGTCTCAGACCTGTTAGGCGTGCGTCGAAAAGTTAGCTGGATGTTATGGTAAACAAAAGAACCGTAAGACTCTCTTATCCAAGAATAGTAATCCAAAAGGGGCCGGGGTGTCTCACGTCGACGACGACTTGTGGAGGTTCATGACGCGCTTGGCCGTCTTGTCGCCCATCTCGTCCGCCAGCATCTCGACTATCGTGCGCTGGTTGGGGCTCAGGTACTTGGGCATATTGACGCGGAACTCGACACGCAGGTCACCCCTGGCTCCACGGCGGCCCTTGAGCTTGGGCATACCCTTGCCCGCCATCGTCATCTTGTCGCCTGTGTTGGTGCCGGTGGCGACACGGACCTTGGCGTCGCCCTCGAGAGTGGGGATCGTGACCTCGCCGCCGAGGATGGCCGTGGTGAGCGGTATCGTCGCCGTGTAGAGGATGTCGGATCCGTGGCGCTGGAACTTGGGGTCGGGCGCAACCCGGACATGGACAAACAGGTCGCCCTTGGTGCCCTGGGCGTTGGGGTTCGATTGTCTGCCTAATGGGGGCGCGTCGCCCTCGCCGCTGATCCGTAGCTTCATGCCGTCCTCGATACCGCCGGGGATGTCGACCACCAATGTCTTGCGCTCTCTCACCACACCGTCGCCCGAGCAGGTCGGGCACTCGGATCCCTTGGGCGTCACCATGCCGCTGCCGCTGCAGGCGTTGCAGACGGTGCCCATCTGGAAGCCGCCCATCACTGTGACGACCTTTTGACCGGTACCGCCGCAAGACTTGCAGGTCGACCTCTGAGTGCCCTTCTTCAAACCGCTGCCGGCACATGTGCCGCATTCCGTCAGTGGCAGGATTGTGATGGTCTTTTTTGTTCCCTTGGCCGCCTCCATGAACGACACCTGCACCTGCACCTCGATATCGTCACCCTCGAAAATCTCCTGCTGGAACGGACTCCGACCTCCGCCCCCAAAGGGACCACGGCCACCACCGGTAAATGCTGAGAAGAGGTCATCAAGGTTGATGTTTGCGCCGAATCCGCCGCGTCCGCCGAAGCCGCCGAAGGGGTGCGCGCCGCCAAACGGATCACCGCCGGGGCCGGGGTGGCCGGCTGAAGGGTCGTAGCCAGCAGCGCCGAACTGGTCGAACTGCTTCCTCTTCTCGGGATCGGATAGGATTTCGTAGGCGGACTGGATCTCGGCGAACTTGTCCTTGGCGTCGGCATCCTTGTTCGTATCGGGGTGGTACTTCTTGGCTAGGCCGTAGTAGGCCTTCTTGATGTCGGATTGCGAGGCGCTCTTGTCAACACCCAGTATCCCGTAGGGGTCGCGAGGTGTAGCAAGCAGTCGGTTGGTGGTGTGGAAGGTCTATGATCAAGCAAGGAGCTGGTCAGCATGTGGCTGAAACGCACGGAGCCAAAAGTGAACAAGACGTCATCAGGACCTACCCTTGGCTTCGAAACAGGACTTGTCGGAGAAGTGGGTGTCGTTGAGCGGCTGGCGCGAGGCCTAGAAACTACAGTAAAGCCAGCAGCGGAAGCCCTCCTTCCGGCGCAGTTTCTAAACCTCTGGCGACGACATATTTGCGCGGGGGAGAAGTGGCGAGCCGGGAGGGCTGCCTTGGGAAGAACGGATGAGTTCATCTCGATCTAGATATGGATGGGTATACGTAGTGAAGAGAGGAGAGGGTTCGGGTTTCGTCGGTAGATAGTGCGGGCCAGTAGCTATAGGAATTACCACGACATCTAAACTCAGACAAACAAAGGAGTGTGAGTGTACAGAAACTCGAGCGGTATGGCGGGGGACAGCCTGAACCGAACACCGTGTTTTTCGATGGAGAGGAGAGAAAGTTCGCAAAGGGTTACGAAAGAAGGTCGTCGTGACAAGACGGAAGCACTTGGGACAACCATGCAGTCAACTTTTTGGCTGCCGGCCGATTCGCCGAATCACAGATGCCATTGGGCCGTTGGGGGAGATGGGGGGTTCGGTCTTGGCATTCAGAGCACTTAAGCTGCTCAAAAGTGGGGAATCCGGGAACCTCGCTGGTCTCCAAAGTCTAGAAATCACCACCGCCTTCTTTCTGCCCCACCACGTCTTCCAAACCGCGAATCGCCATTTGCGCTGCGGCAAAACACTAATAAGAAAGGCCGAACTAGACTCAATGCACCATGCTGCTGATGGCCCGGGATCCCACCGGACTATGAGGTCCAGGGGGGAGACGGGATGGGTTTGTCTGTCCGTGGTGGTAACCACAATCATCAATTCCTATATAAATTCCCATATGTGCCATGCCATTGTGCGTTGTGTACCTGCCGTGGAAAAATTCCCCAAATAACCATCATGAGTCCATTGCGCCAAGTCGGTTCCAGTCGATCGAAGCAGAAAAATTCAAGGATATCCGAATAGCGCCCATACAGTTCCCAGTCCACACCAAAGCAGGCATCGTCAATAACCACAAGAAAAAGAAACTGGATCGTGAGGACTCTTTCACAGCACCGTCAACCGATAGCTGTGGTGGAAGAAGGGTGGTTCCGTAACCCCCTGAGTCAGCTTCCCGCACCATGCCGTCACCTCTCATTCCTCCGGAGGCAAGGTGATGTATTCCCTCGGCTTGATAACCTTCTTCTTGGGTACCCCATGGGAGGTGCGAATCTTGTGCAAAAAATCGACAATGATGTCGTTCTCCTGGACGCCAAGACCGTTGAAGTGCTTGCGCACCGTGCTGGTCAACTGGTCCTTGCCTTGCCTCCGATATTCCTTGCGTCGCGCAATCGTGGGCGAGTATAGACCAACGCTGCCGGGTTGGGTGAGGACCCATTGGTGGACAGGATTCGCGTATGCGGTCGGTGTCTGGAGACGGTAGGCTCGTCGGTAGGCATGGAGGACGTCTCTTTCGAAGGCGGGCCATTGGAGCTGTGAAGAGTCAAGAGAAAAGTTAGCTTGGGCACATTCAATGGGCGGAAGCCAATTACGATAAGGAAAATGGGATTGCGACTAGGACTGGGTTGGGGAATGAGAAGCCAACGTACACCTGGGTTGCTTGCCTCCGACTGTGTTGTCGTCGCCGTCGTCGCAGGATGCGAAGTAGGACCGGCCGCAAGAACGGCGGCGGCGTTGGTCACTTCACGCAGGCTCGAGCCCGTCGAACTTCCGCCTCGCCGCATCTTGGTGCCTCCGGTATGGCCATTCTTCTTTCCCCCTCCTCCTCCCTCGTGGGGAGTGTCTGACTTGTCGTCGTGGTTTTGGTTCTTCCTTGGTGGTGCCATGGCGAACAGTTCCTAGTGTAGGTAGATTTCGGACGAGAAGCGAAGCGGAAGAGTGGAATTGGTTGGAGGAGCGTTTGTTGTCGCGTAGATTCAGATCAGACGGTGGTTATGGTGTCGAGCAGAGGAGAGCTTCAGGTTGAGTATGGTGTGTATTCGTGGCTTTTGGATCACATCGTAAGGTCCAAAGTGGTGGGCTCTGAGGCAGTCGTGTTGCGGTGACCCAAAGTGGCATTGGAGTGTGTCGGGTGAGAGGGGAAGGAGAAAGACGGGCTGGGATGGGCAATCGTGGGAAGAGATTGCAATAACGACCGGCCGGCACACGCCCAGGGCAGTCAGGGCAGTCAGGGCAGTCAGGGCAACGCGCAGCGATTGACATTCGTCCAGGCTGCAGTGCCGCAAGCTGCAGTGTGTCCTGCAAAAAGGGCCATCCACTGTGAGCAGGATCCCTGAAGGACAAAAGCTCTGACGACACTGGACCCAGCCTTTCTCTCTCTCTCCTTGGACTTAACGGTATCCGACGATAGCGTGTGGCTGGGCGCGTTATCGGCCTATCTGAGTGGTCGATATCGCTCCTTTGGTGCCACACCTAGGTTTCCCCTCGAAACCTCAATGGAGATTTGATCTGAACTATTGTGGGCCCAGCTTTCCCACATGCCGTTAAAGTGCAACGCCTGCCGCGAACGCGAACGCGCGAGACAGCCACGGTCAAGCTTCAGAAGTGGAACCCTGAGATTCAGATGAAAGACGCACATGCTGCTTTCACTTTTGCATTGCGTCCGGCAGAAAGAGATTCCCGCAGCGGAAATAAAAACTTTAAAACTTTAAAATGCGGTTGGGAATTTCATGTGAAGGTACAGCAATCAACCATTGAAAATGTTGAAACAATGCGGTTGTTGGCATACCTTTTTACTTGAGCATGACCTTACTCATATATTACTTGGAGAGCGGCATCACCACGACCCCTTGACTGAATCTGGTGACTCTCGGAGGTCCAACCGCCCAACCGACCGAGTTGGATATGTCAACGCACCATCTCAGTTCCCAAAGCGACAAGCCCGGAGGTATAAGTAGTTGTCCATGGTTCATCCCAGGTCCACAGCTCACTGCCATGGTCAGGAGAGTCAGGGTAGCTCGTGGGACCTGGCGAGCTTGACAGGGCTGAGAGCTGATAACATGTGGAACTTCCAGAACGTCTAGCCAAAGCTCACAGAGCCCGATCTAGGCTCATGGCATCACCTGACAGTTGACGTATTCGACAAATACCATAACCATCGGTTTGGGAGACGTTGCTAAAGCGAAGCAGTCACCGTGGTAAAGTTGGGTTCGGCATAAGCACACTCCATTCCCTTTTCTGATGAGACAATTTCGAACCGCTCAGCTCCTCGTCCCCTTTCCGTCGACATGCATGATGGCTGTACATGGGAGACGAAAGTGGCGCTTCTGAGATGGTGTTGCGCCGCGACATTTCTGGAGGCATATCTCTGGCCCTTGGGGTTCAATGGGTGTGTCCCCTTCGATCTCCCTAGATGGGACCTTCCTTCTGTTGAAGAAGGTCGTGAGGCTTCTCCGTACTCGAACTTGTTTTACAACCTTCTGGAACGGGTTGCCCGACTGAAGGTGTAGCCATTTTCTGGTTCGTGTTACCAGCACATGACAATGACGCAGTCTGCAGTAGTTGAATCGAAGTTGACTCTCAACGCCAATTTTATCCAAAAGTGTATATCTCGCGGCGTCGTTCCGCGGCGGTAGTGTCTTTACGACCTTCCCGGATTGGGTGTCGGAGTGAGTCCGCTACCTCCAGATCACATTTCAGGATAGTGCTCAAGTCACTCTCCAATTTCCAGACCACGGAGGTGGTATTGCTGGACGCCTCCAAAATCTTGCCTCGTTGTCCACACCCATCCTTTGGATAGACTTTGAATTTGGCCAAAAAGTGGCGTCGACAGATGCCTCCACGGGGGTTGCACCATGACCATGTCCTCGGTCTTCCGAGACAGGTGCTGGTTGGTCAGTTGGGGAATGGTGGTTAGGATGGGCCACTTATACCTACCTACACCAGCAGGTTGGGTCAGGCCGGGCTCCGGGGTATAGACACTCGATCGAACAAAGCGTGGAGTGGATGGGCGAGATGGGCAATCGTGGGGATATCCATGGCATCCCACGTTCCCGTCTCATCATTCATTAGTGTAAGGGTTCTCGAACTGTTCGCCTAAACCTGAGGAACAGGTTTGGGGTTCACCCGTTCGGGTTGGGGGTCGCTCCGCGGGATTGGGTCTTGGGGTTGTCTGGTCGCCGCGGGTATATGTTATAGAGTGTCGAAAGTGGTGGCGCGTAGGAACAATGTGATGATTCCCGGGTTGATTCGATACCAAGGCACCGTCCGTCACGGGCTGCGAACTATTGACTGGTTCTGTTCTGACGGGGGTTCTCCGTGATTCTTGGTACGCGCTGGCGGGTAGAAATGGAACTGACAGCGGCATGAATCCGGGACTGTCTGACAAGACCCTTGATTGTTCTGGGTCTTTAGCTCAGGACTCAATGAATTCCGGAACACAGTTCCTGGGACTTTGGACCGTTCATTCCTGGATCACTCATCACTGATGATGGTGAAGATGACTGAATGTTGCCACCTGCACACTACTGCTGCTGCAGAACGCGCCATTGAAGCAGCCAAGGATTGAGGAATTGGGCTCCAATCACAGTAAGGCGTTCACGACGCCGAGTAGCATCGAAAGGAAGGGCGTGGCAGGGTGTCATGCTGGGCGAGCTGGGGTCGACGGAGGCTCGGGAGGGTTGCGGGGCCGTAGTGTAGAGTATGTGCTGTTCCTGATGGGCGAAATTGTCGAGATAGTGAAGAGTCTAAGACATTGTTTTGTTGGTCAAAGGCCAACAGGCTCATCTTGAGAAAGAGGTAGACTCGGTGCTGGAGATGTGAAATTGATATGGATGGTGGAGTGGGTGGAAGAGGTTCACGGAAAGATCCAGACCAATCAAATAACAGGGAATTAGGCTCCTCACTGCGGCAGGGTACCCTCGAGTACCTTCCTGACATCTCTCTGATGCTCCTTTGCGGTCTTTCTCTCGGTAACTTTCACCAACTTGACATGATACACACTTTTCAGTGCTGCGTTGGGCGACTGTCATCACATCGGTTGACTATGCACTAGGCTTCAACTATATTGCAAGTTAAATCACGCAAAACCCTGGGTTTGTAGTGTTGGTAAGCAGGCAGCCGCTCATCACATTGTTTCCATCGTTTACTATGCTCCCCAAACGGCTATTCTAGATGCGCACCTTTGAAGAGCATGACCTGTGTCGTCTGTAGTTAAAACAGTCCGGCATCTTCGGTCTTATTATACTTGGAGGTAAGCCATCTCGGACCGGTCTCCTGTCGTCAGCATCAGTGGATATCATCGACGTCAAACTTTTTCCCGATCTCCTAACAGGAGCATATGCCCCTGAGACCCATAGGGATCGTCACGATATGGCTTTAAGCTTGCAGGTCCCTTCGCGTGGGGAGTGGATCGCTCAGGCCAGGCGAGGCCAGGCACCAGGGCACCTCAATTCCGCCGAAACGGGGAACCTGCAAGATGGATCATCTTTCATTCAATGCATCAAGAACATGAAGACGGCTATCGAAATTCTAACCCCAGATACTACAGTAGCGTGACGTTCACTCTGAAAGACAAGGTCAGCGGATACTGTAATCCTGTAATACGATACGATACGGGTAACCCGACCCCGGAAGGTTCGACCCCAATCGCACGCTAGGGTCGGACCAAGAACGGCCCTCTTAGCGTCGTGGCCCCGCGCGGCGTGCTACCCCGTCCAGGAGCCAGGCTAGAGGCAGGCGCTCTCACTGGCGCTGATGGTGTTCGGTTGAATCTCCATAAGTTCCCAGAGAGACCCCCACACGCGGCCGCTCCAACTCCTCTCCTCCCTCCCGCGCACTTCCCCAGACATTCTCTTGGGTCGACAGCCCACGTTCAACCCGCGCCGGCAGACAAAGACAAGCAGCCCCAGGTCTATGTTGGACAGGACACTTCCTGGTTGACAGCGGCAATATTCACACGGATTACACCTGTTCAGCCCTCGGCTTCCTACACCCAGACTGCTTAGCACAGCATCGTCAACAAGCCTTGTGCTACAGTCTACACCGTCAATCACGGTCACGGTCTACGGTACCTTTTACGCCAAACATCCGTGTCAGCCGTGTGTGTGTTCTCACAAAGTATGTTATATCTCCATCATCCAGCAATCTCTTGATAATATGCCCTATCTGTCCCAGCATTCTGGATCCCTCCGGCGTCGGCAGACTGCAGTCTCATCAACAAGTGTTCGAGAAGCCCTCATATTGGTCCCGTGGATATCATGGGTAACCCCGGGCACATACATGTCTCTCCTCCCATCTGGCTTGTCCGCCTGTCACCACTCACCAGTGCCAGCGCATTCTTCACGAGACACGAGCCACCTGACATCCCGAATTCTTTGCCTTTCTCCCTTTGGCACGTCATTGTGTTACAGCTTATAAGAGTCTACTTCGGATCAGAGAGCACTCAAGGGCATCAGACAATTATCCAGTGGCCGCGACTATCGGAGCAACTGCGTGATCCTTCATGCTGGTACTGGCACTTACAAGTGCTTTGACCAAGTTCAGTTTCTAACTCTGTCACTTCTCACTGCCGTTCTGGTGTCGTACAAGGTGGCTTTCCAACAATGTGCTTGTCTGGATCACCTCCCCCCGTTTCCCTCCCGTCCAATGTCTTTCCTGTCTTCCATCCTTTCCGCTCTCTTCAAGACACAACCTATCTATGGATACCCTTGACACTTTCTTCCATCTCTTCCAGCACTTATACCTACCCCTGTCCCCTTTCTGAAGCTATTCGCTATGCCCCAAAAGTACACGGACTTAGTGTACCCTCAACTACACGCACCCGACCCTACCTCCCTTCCAAACCCCTGCTCATCCCATTCCCCTTCCCTCCTCTGACCCTGTTCGTCTGCTGTTACCTTGAGCCACACCCAAGGGCTTGGTGCACCGACTGGCTTGCCTCGGTGAGGTGAGCTCCTGGCTGGGCTGCTTGCGTGCAGCTCTAGGTCTTACAGACGGGAGGTAGACCCATGCCACAGGCAGCAGCACCAACGAGGCAAAGGGACCTGGGCACTGGCAAAAGGCTAGGCCGGGCTGTTCTTGTTGGATGGACGAACAGTGTTCCCAAGGAGCCGTGTCCCGTTCGCTTGAACCACGCCTCCTGAAGTGATCCGGCCTCTAGAAATAATCCTCTGGCTGATGACTACCCCTCCCGTTTCGTCCACCCCGGTCGCTTGCTCGACTGGTTCCTTCCGGCGTTCAGGCGCCTTTTCCCAATGCGCCCAAGCTGGCGTCCATCGCCGTCCTCCACTTTCCCGTCGCGGGCGGTAGTTTCATGGGTCCGTTCCCATCGAGCTTGTTACTGATTATT